CTCTCTCTCTCTCTCTCTCTCTCTCTCTCTCGATGCGCTGGAAAATTCGGGCTCCGATCGACATGTATACTTGGCAAGTTGCGCTGCGTTCCAGCTGGATCGAGCTTTGGTGAGATTCGGGATCGAGAAGGAAGGAGACGGAGAGAGAGAGGGGGGGAGGGGAAGGAGAAAGAGAAAAAGGGAAAAGAAGACATTGCGGGAGGGCGGGGACGGGGGTTCCTCGGAACCCACATTCCGAGGGATTGATCGCGAGGTGGAGATCGCGATCGACACAATCGAGACTCACGACGACGACGACGACGACGCGCGAGAGATACAAGAACGAACATTCTCCGAAGCAAGCGAGAGCAAGTCTTCTTCGTCCCGCTGTGGATATTGTATTACAATAAGGATCGTATTCCGTGAATAGTACCAACGCGAGGGTCGTTCAACCCTTATTACTTTATAGCACTGAGCTACTGCTCCGCAGCAGCGATGTACGATTATAACGGGGGATAGTTTTCCATCCACGCCCCCGCTTTCGAAAATGTTACCCTCGCTTTTGCCGATCCCCCTTTGTACGACGTTCGCCTCGTGATCTCAGTCTTGAATTTATGTACGGGCGTTTTGTGAACTCCGGAACGTCACATGGACTCGCGTTATCGCTTCGAGGCTGTTCGAATCGACGTCGATACACAGCGAACACACAGAACCACACGATCGAACTGCTCTCTTTGCTTATCTACATTACGAATGGGGGCTGCGATCTGGAAATGCACGTTTAAGTGGAATCAGCGAAGCAAGAACCACGAGCGCGACGAAGGCTGACAGTCGATAATGCCGAAGCGCAGTACAACCGTCAGTGCATGGGTTAAGGCCTGTTCTACAATACGTCGTACGCCGGAGTCGGATCTCGGAACGCAGCCGATGATCCAGCGGGGAAAACTCGTTCTCGGAAAAGAAATTCTCTCACTGTGGCTGCGTCCCGACCCCGACATTGTATTGGCGTATCGTAAAACGGGCCTTATTCAACTCTCTTTGCCACAGCTACACGTGTAGATCGGGTCTTCGATTTGACAGCTCTGCCACTGAAAGCGTTTAGAGCGTATATTCAGCGCTAGGCAACTGATGCGATGTTGAGACAACCGTAGAAAGGAGATCTCTTGAATGTATAGAACAATCTCTCTCTCTCTCTCTTCACACGGATTACAGTTTCCTTAGAATATCAGCATTTCTCTGCACCAGATAGCGATTCTGTTTTCTACTAGTCATGGATGACAGTCGATGATCACCTACACCAAGTTCAAATCTTCATCTCCCCAGGGTATATTTTTCATTATTCTTCAACATGCACTCTGTAGGTCTATTCTTTTTGGCTGAATTAGGCTGCACTTTCTCCCTTCAGTGTGAAACAAGAGGTCTGTTCTTTTTCGCTGAACTAGTGTACACTTGCGGAAAAAAAGAGACGGTTGAGACTCGGCGGAAGAGAGAGGAGAAGAGAATTATTAGTACAAACCAAATGCAGCCAGTTCGGTGAGAAAAAATAGACCTCGGTATATAATAGAGTATGGAAGGGAAAAGGTTCCAGGGCGGCAGTGGTGCATCCAAAAAGAACAGGCCTGATGAAACACACAAAGCTGTCCCGTTCAACAGCTCTACTGCCTCCGAAGCGGGGCGAAAACCGCGTAGAGTCGTTTCCGAGAGGAAGAAAGAGAGAGAAAGAGTTGCAGGAAAGTGTAGAAGGACGCGACTCTAAGGAGCCTAGAGCTGCGGGCCTCGCACTTACGCGTTTAGACGGGAACATTAACCTCGATTTCCGCGGAACGCGCAACGGTCGCTCGATTACACACGCCTAAAACGTCAATCTCGCGGTGTGCTCGCGGTCGATCGCTGTGCACAACACCTCGCCTCCGTACTTACTTACTCTCTCTCTCTCTTTTTCTTTCTCGACTACGATCCCGGGAACGTTGGGAGAACGGAACCTCGGAAGGTCCCCGTGTATACGCGTCATCGTTTCCGCGAACCGCGGCACCTCGGCTACTCCGGGAGAAATTTTGACGCGACAGACGGCCCCTTATCGAGAGGTGGTGAACCCCGAGAAAAAACGCGAGATACACTGGCCGAGAGGCCCAGCCGTGCGCGGCTGCACGTTTACAAATCGTGCACAAAGACAAAGGCCCGACGGAGATGGCGGAGAGTGCACGCTCCTCCTCGATGCTTTCGGCGATGCTGTCGTCGCACCGTTGTCCCTTCACCACGGGAGGCATCGGCGACGCGGAACACGGGCGAGCCATGAACTCCTGGACATCGGATGCGGCCGTTCTGTGTCTCTCCTATTGTCTTCGTCTCTCTCTCTCTCGCGCCCTCTCTCACTCTCTTTCTCCCTGTCTCGCTTTAGGATCGCATCCTCTCTCGCTCGGCCGTTCTCTCTCTTTGGTAGTCTCCGTCTGTCCCTCTTGGTTCACTCACTCACTCACTCACTCATTCACTCACTCACTCACTCACTTACTCACTCACTCATTCACTCGCTCGCTCACTCACTCACTCGCACGATCGCTCGCTCGCTCCTTGTCGCGCTCGTTCGCACGCTTACCCGAAGTGGTTCTCGACGGCAGAGGAATCCTGTTTGCGCCTTTCCGCCGCGATCTCCGCACGTAGCTGCGCGACGACGTGAACGACGCGCTCGGCATCTTTCTGTCGGCGGCGCTCGGCGCTCGACGTCCTCGTCCCCGTGTCTGCTGTTGCCGTCGTCGTCCTCCGCCTCCTCTTCCTCTTCTCCTCCTCTCTACCTCCGCGCCGCCTGTTCCTCACTCTCTCTCTCTCTCTCGCGCGTGCAGCTCTCCGCTCCGAGGCACTCGATCGGCGGCTTCGCGTACTCCCTCGACTGCGAGGGTGCGCGAGGACCGGCGGTAGCCCCCCGCCCCGCGCGGCAGTAGGGCAGCCGCCGCGCGACGTAGGGCCGCGCACGCAGAAGCTGCCAAAAGCTTGAAAGACACTACACAATAGCGACACTACCACCGTTCACGGCGGCCATCTTGCTCACGGCCGACGGGTAGAGCTCTGCTTGCCGACTGGTGGCCCAGAGGGCAGCCGCCAATCGTACGAGTGTATCTGCCCTGTGAGTGCGTGCTGTGCGCGAATCCCCCTTCTCGCCCCCCATTCGACGATTCTCTCACGACCCGTTCACTCGCGTCACCCCTCTCGCTCCCTCTCTCTCCCTCTGCTGCGCGCTGTTTCCCTCCCCCAACCCCTTATCCTGGCTCCTGCTTGCCTCTTCTTCTCCTCCTCCTCCTCTCTTCCGTACCGCCGCGGCAGCCGCCGCTGCCGCCACGGGGCTTATTACCGAGCCCCCCTTCCGCAGTGGAGCGCGACACAAGCGACCGACATCGGTTATGGAGCTATGGAGGCCGCGGAGCGAAATACCGATAATTCGCCCTGCATCTCCGCCGTCCTCTCGTGCCTCGCGCTCTCGGTCGTCTACGTGGCGAGCCTGTATGTCTGGAGTTCGCCGCACAACAGGTACGTGTGACACGTCCGTAGCGATCGGCGACAGTGGTGCGGCGACGACGACGATGACTACGACAACACGGCGATGACAGCGGCGACCGACGACGTAACAGCAACCACGAAGACGACGGCTCTCTCTCTCTCTTTCTCTCGCGCGGTCTCGCTCGTTCGATTCTTTTTCCGTCCGTGTTCTCTCTTTCCTTTGTCCCGTGCGACGTCGTCGTTTTCCACCGCCTCTTTTTCTCCCGTAGGCGCGGCGCTCGCTCTCTCGGCAAGTCGCGATTTGTAACTGTGTGCAGTGCCTCACACCGACCGGACGGATACAAGTGACTGTCCCACGCGCGCTTCGCGTCGCACCGCTCGCTGTCACAATCGCATTCTGGACAGGTGGCGCCAGCGACGCCGTGGCGTCGCGTCGAACTTTCGCGTGGAAAGTGGTGCGTTCTTTTTAGCTGGACGATCGACTGCGTTAGTTCGCGAAATTCATGGTGTTTCCGATTTGTCGACTCCGCCAGCATTCCGGTATTCGCTGCAGCATTGTAAGCTATAGTATATGTGACGTGAATTATATATTGCAGTACTGCAAAGATTATCGGAACATTGCCCGAGTCGGGTAGAGTCAGCAAATCGGAAACGCCATTACATTTTCTTACGTTTCTGGTGCAGCCAATTCAGCTAAAAAGAACAGACTGAAGCGAATCCTAGTGATTGTGTGTGTATTCTCGAGATCACGGTTATTTATAGCTAACCAGACTATTAAAGCCCGGTTTTACCAACGCGAGTTAAGCCAGCGATACACGATGCTTGTTTCGTGCTGGATTGTTTGCTGGATAGAAATACTGCATTTTGATTGGTATATTGTTATTCACTTTTAAAAATGCACCAATCAGGACGCAGCATGTCTATCCAGCAAGCAATCCAACACGAGACAGGCATCGTGTATCGCCGGTTTTAATCAAATCGGTCGATTAAATTCAATTTGTCTATTGGATCTGACCAATCGCCTTTATCTTACAATGATGCGATTGGACAACTCCGGCAACGGAAGAGCTGAATTTAATCGACCGATTTGATTGACACGTTGGTGATATCGGGCCTAATTTAGTCGAAATATGGAGCTCCAGATCGTATATATACGATCTGTTCTTTATAGCTGCACTGCTGAATGAGTGCAATAAGTTGAAGTGAGATAAGTATACGTTTTCTCATTTTAACTTATTGCACCAGTTCAGCAGTCCAACTATAAAGAACAGACCAATAGTTTGCTTTCCTGCATGACACACAGGTCGACACAAGTCTAGTTATATATCATCATTTGTCCTTCTTTCGCACTTGATAAAGAAAAGGATAATAGATAATATAACTACACTCGTATCGACCTGTGTCTCTTGTTGGAAAGCAACCATAGAAATCTCACGTAGATATGTGGTACGTGCTGTGAATAGGACGCGTTTTATGTCGCAAATGCTTCGAAGCGTCGTACAGACCAATCGCGTTCTTTCTTCAAGCATTTCAAAGCGTTTGCAGTTTCAAGTGGATCGTAACCTATATATTTGCCTGTGTATACGCGCGCGCGCAACACACACACACACGCGCGCGCGCGACATTCGACCAATCAGAGAGTGACGGTCATAACGCATGCGCGAGGTTTTGTACGAATTTTCCGGGGCCGTGTATTTAGGCCAAGTTAGCAGTCTAGTTGATCTGCGTTCAGAAACGCCGCACTGAGGATCATATATGTAATACCACTACATAGCCAGGGTGAGAGAGAAGTCTCGCAACTACGGTGCGGAAATATGTATTTCCCTCTCTTTTTGAACGTAATGCGCATGCATCGGATTGACGTCTCCGCCAATAGAAAAATAAAATATATTTTAGCACATGTATATATATATATTTTATTATATTTTAGCACATGTATATACATATATATCATCTGATCCCCGCGTCTGCGCACTACAGTCAAAATACATATATCGGACATCGTCTGTCTTTCCCTTCTGAAACGGCTCTCTCTTATAGACAGCATGAGACAACTGGCTATATAGTATTATATATATGCTGAGGGTGACATTTAATTAACCAATCATGATGAAGAAATATTAGGCTGATATTTATAGTCGATCTTATATTTAATCTTATATTTAAGACTATCTCCAGTTTATCTTCAAATATTTCACGGCTCATTTCATTGGCTACGAAACATCAGAAGATAAATTTAAATATAAGCCCGGATCTATAATAAGTATAGTAAATTGTAAACCGTAAGAAATTCATCAATTATAATCGATTATTCTTCTCACTATGATTTACCAATTCCTTATGGCTTAAAACTTGCTATACTTATTAGATTCGAGCTAAAATCCGTCTATAAATATCGTCCATAGTTTTTTGTATTTATTGGTCAATTAACTGTTATTGTATCCTCTCAGTGTTTTCGAACGCAGACTTATTGGATGCTTTCTATTTGGTGACACAAGAATCATCCTACTTTTATTATATCACTGAATGTGGAACAAAGACAAAATGATGGTTAGGTCGACTTGTGTCACTAAATGGAAAGTGCCTATTCTGTAGATATGTGATGCAGATACAATCGTGAACAAAAAGGTTGTGACACATTTTCCGATGAGTTTCGAAACGCATTTCGTACCCAATAGGAAAATGTGTGATACTCATAAAAAAAAAGTGTCAAACCTTTCTGTCTACGACTGTACCTGCAGGCATCGTTTTACACACATTCAATCAATAAAATAATACGTGTTTCCTACTCCGCGCATGACATAATACGCAATTTCTGGCGTTCACTTTTCTGCTTGCAAACAAAGAAATTAACAGTCTAGCTATTACATAAAGGGAAGTCTACAATGAAAATTTAAGGCGTAAGATTTAAGAAATTGGCCAATCATAATTGATTTTTCTTGTATAATTCAATTGTGAATGATCAGTTTCTTAAGGCTTAGAGCTTAAAGCATCTATTGTAGACCGGGACAAGCCGCACTACGAACGCTTATGATTCCGAAATGAACGATGTAAGATACACTTATAAGCGCTTATACGGCGTGAACCCTATAGTTGGTTCAAATCAGCATCGCACCCCTAAAGATAAGATTTATCATCGACTGTTCTCTTCAGCCACATTTCTAAACCTTCTTACAATTTTAATCTTTCTTCCTGTTTTTCTTGCGGATCTTAGTTTACACAGCCATTCCATTTTAAATATAGAGAGTAATGTGTAGCGTGGAGAACAGAAAGAAATATAGAAAATATATAGAACAACGCATTTGAATCCGACATAGTAATGTTTGGCGCCATAGCTAGATTTGAACGTGACAATCGTCGTAGCAGGACTTTTGAATTGAATTCAACAATGTCACTTCTTTGTCAAAACATTCGAATAAATTCTTTGGATGCGTGGCTTTGAAATCTAATATAACTCTTAATAAAATAATTATGAAAATATAATATTAACATATGATGCAAATATAATAAAAATTATAAAACATAAATTAATTAAAAATATACAATATTCTTTGAATCGTCGATTTAAATTTAATATAATGAAATTCTTCGAATTGGTAATTTTGAAATGACATATAATTAATATAGCGAAGAGTTTTAATTAAAACCTATCAACAGCAATATTATCATATAAAGCTTTGTTATCAAGCTTCATTTCCGATCGTTTCTATTTCAGGGAACATCCGTCAACGATAAAGAAACGATTTTTTAGCGTGTTTATCATGACTCTCATTTCACCGGTACCCTTGTACTTTGGAATGAACGAGAACGTATTCCAAAAGGTAATCCTTCGTCAATGTAAATAGTTCCCGGATGTTCTTCTGTGAATTATCAGTGATTCCTATTATCTTATCTTTCGTTTCAGGCGACCATTTGGGAGTTGCTGGGTCTACGGTGGTCGGGCTTGATACAGGCGACTGTGATACCGTTGCTCCTAACGATGATCCTGTTCCTAGGTCCTCTGAGTCTGCAGGGCTTCAATGGACTCTGGCGATTGTACACTGGTCAGCATTCTAAGTTGAATATCCGAATTCGATAGCGCATTCAACTCGAGATGAAACCGCGAACAGATCTGACAAAACGAAAGCAAGATCAGTCCCGGTCTACAATATGTGCTTTAAGCCCTAAACGTTAAGAAGTTGACCAATCACAAACGAATTATACAAGAATAATCAATTGTGATTAATCAATTTCTTAAGGCTTAGAGCTTAAACTCTCATTGTAGACCCCACTTCAATCTACAACAGGTGCTTTAAACTGCAAGCCTTAAGAAATTGAGCAATCACGTCAATTATTCTTCTCGTATTCGACTATGACTGGTCAATTTCTTAAAGCTCAAAACACCTATGTCCCGATTTACAATAGGTGTTTTGAGCCTTAAGAAATTGACCTCACAGAATTGAAATCACAGAATTGAAATCACAATTAATTATTCACATTCGATTGGTCAATTTCTCAAGGCTTAAAGCTTAAAGTACCTAATGTAGACCAGGGCTATTGTAAACCGGGACTCATGCTGTTGCGAATCTTTCTCTCCAGAGCCGATGTATTGGTTGGGCAGTGTGAGAACATTGATTTGGTGGAGGAATCAGGTGGTCGCCCCGTTGTCCGAGGAGTGGACCTTCAGAGCTTGCATGTTGCCGTTGCTCTTACAGTGCTTCGCGCCGACTACTGCCATATTCCTGTGTCCCCTTTTCTTCGGGGTGGCTCATTTCCATCACGTTGTGGAGAGGATAAAGATGGGCATGGGGATTAAGCATGCGCTGTTTATATCCTGTGAGTGAAAATCCCTGTCCAGATAGCATGAGATATCCCGTAAACACCTGGAATGCGCTCAAAATACCTTGGAAGCGTTCGAGGAGACGCTATTTAGCGCGTCATTCTATCTTTAGTATTCTTTACATGTACAACAAGGATAGAATGACGAGCTAAATAACGTCTCCTCGAACGCACCTCTTGATGAGTGTCTCGAAATATCCTAAGCACATCGTCCAGGACGAGCTCAGGACGATTTGCGTTTGATCTGGAGACCACGAGCGTTTAAGCGATCTCGTGAAAAACGCGAGAAAAAACGATGGGTAAAATGAGCTGATTTTAGCCCCTGAAGTGGCGAATAAAAGTGGTATATTTTTTCCAAGTTTCTCAGCTGCCGAATCCGATTCTGACTTTTAAGAAATTTTAATTTGTCGGGAATGTACTAGACAAATCAACATTCTTGAACGATCAGAATCAGATTCAGCAGCTCAAAAACTACAAAAAAAAATGTACCGTTTTTACTTGCCACTCCGGGGATCAAAAACCGGCTCATTTTCACCCATCGTCCTTTTTCACGAGAATTTCTTTTTCTGACGCGTCGATTTCAGGTTTCCAGTCCACGTACACGACGTTGTTCGGAGCGTACGCAGCCTTCCTCTTTGCCAAAACAGGTTCGTTTTACTGTGCTTTCGAAACACGCCACTGACGGACCTTTCTTCACGTTTTTGTATCTCTCCTCAGGCCACTTCATCGCACCGTTCGCTGTGCACTCTTTCTGCAACCACATGGGATTCCCCGATCTCTCGGAAGTAGCGGCGTACAAAGATCCGCTGAAGAGGGCCGGACTGCTGTGTTTGTTCGTGGTCGGCTTAGTCGCTTGGTGCTTTCTATTGACGCCGCTGACTCATCCGTCGCTGTTCTATAACGATTTATTTTGGCATAAACGTTTTACATGAGACACGTCCGATTTATAACAAATGGTTGGGTTGGATTCTTGCGACGCTTTATTTACGAGAGTGGCTAGAATGAAATGTTTTCACGCGGGGTCCGACCGCTTTATCGATCTAACAGTTTACATTGTTGTGTGACTTAATATCGAGTTTTAACGGTATAACACTTGTCTCGAAAGTCGATTTCCCGCGCATCTCGCGGACTCGGCATGATTTTATATCGATTAATTTTCTAAACCAAGAGAGAGAGAGGGAGAGAAAGAGATAACAATGTAGGTAGGTTTAATTTTAACTGATCGTACAATTCTTGTTACGAAATATATCACCGTAGTGCCTGAGGTTTAATTAGACTTTTATAGCGGTAATTGCGAGTGTTACAATAACTATTGCGAACAATGCGAATTTGTTCTCAAAGCCAAAGTGCGGAGGCTCGTACGTATTATCGTTTTACGAATTGCTGTGTACATCGTACGTCGCATGCAATATCGCATTATTTTACGATTTTAAGACGTCGGTTAAATGTTATCGATATTATCGTTTCAAGGAGATTTTTGTAAAAAAAAAACCAAGAACTATAATATAGATTATTATAGTATAATTGATAATGTATCGAGAGAAAGTTTCTAAATCGATCTTTCTAATCGTCTACTTTTGTAACGATCTGTATGTACAGTGTACCTACGCATGTGTGTGTGTGTGTGTGTGTGTGTGTGTGTGTACAGGGATGACAGTCACGTGCATTCAAACGCGAGTGAAACGTGCTACACGTATACCAATGGTTTATTTAAATCACAGAAGTGTAACGGTTGTAACAATATTACAATACAATTTTTTATGTATGTACATGTACGTCGATGACGTATGCATTGTACCATGCGGTGAAGTCACAGGTACGTAAGTATTTTCATACACGTACATGCGAGATATCCGAAAGCCACACAGTAACAAAGCCGAATACTTGCGCGTATATTCGGACTTGCAAATTTGACTTTTCAATATCCATATTAATTGCATACGTAACGTATACCACACACATTTGTTACTCGAGAGATACGATGATGTTGTCGCTGAAGTCGTCAACTTTTGAAATGATATTCAGGGGTATGAAATGTTGATAGTGATATAATGTTGAAATATTACTAAGTGTTTTACAGTTGGGGTAAAAAGATCGCAGTGTGCTCTATGCGAGAAAATCGATATATAACAATGTTCTACAAACCGACTTACCACACCGATAGCTTCCCTTCGAGTTCGATAGGACTTGTTGACTTCGTTTCAACAGAAATCGCGGGGAAACGATGTACGTTTCCGTGTACGATTATCTCCTTTCATTCTTTTGTAACATTAATACAGAATATATATAATTCTAAACAAAACACTTTAACCGCCGTATTTATCTATCAGTCGATGATTTTGCTGAATATCTATTCCCCTTCCCGGACGAGCTTATGCTATCTAATTAAACGAGTTTACGTATGACAATGTGTAAAACTTTCTATTGGAACAATAGAGATATCGTAAAATCGGAACGTCTTAAGAGAATTTGATCACTACTATAAATGCTTAAAATTTTTATCGAATAGAGTTTATACAAAATTTAATTTAATATCAATAACATTAATCAAGTAGATTCGCTCCAGAACATTAGTGCTATTATCAAAATCTCTTAAAATCAATTTCATAGACATTCTATTTGCACTTGTATCAAATCCACTTATTTAAAGTAATATTATTTTCTTAAAGTAATATTATCTCAACACAAATATAACTTATATGATCATTATATAATTAAATAAGCTGTAAAGCTTATATATAACGCAGTCATGTTCCTCGTTATATTATTTTCAGATTGCACTGCTTAAATAGATAAATAACGTAACTTCGTCTAGAAGAGTCCACCGAGTAGGATCTCTTTGTATACACGTGAATGCAAAGACAACGATTCAGGAACTATAACTATGCAGACTTGTTTCCGATAGTTCAGTGTGTTTGGTTTATCAATAAATAAATAAATAACCAAATATAATAAATGCAGATTTCCCGTTCGCATGCTGGTAGTCGCGATGCTTCTACCTCCGGTTGCAAACCGGGAGATAATTCAATTTATCCTCAGCTCGCGCGAGGTAGCTCCGATTGAACATGTCCTTACGTTTGGCTGGATCCAGGCAGTGTATCCGGATTCTGCGACTGATTGAGAAACAGGACGTTGCTCGTCTTGATCCTAGGCCCCGTCGCGATCAACGAAGGGGAAGGACTGATGCAAGGTGTCGAGCAGTGACTGTTGCTGAGGTCGCATTGATCCAACAGCTTCCAGAGCTCTTCCGGCGTGGGTCCGCCGGAGCAATCTGTCGATAATAAATATGAATTTTTGAAAAAAAAAAAAATCGTACGATCATTCGTATCATAACACCGTTCGACAAAAATCGAGCTTTTTTTTCCTCCCGTGAGAAATTCAAGCAGATTCTGAAAATAGATGTAAAAACAACATATCCGTGTCTCAGCGTTTCATCAGATCAAGTCGTTTAAGCAGTTCGCAATGATTTTAATATTGATAAATTATTTTAACTTATGTAAAAAAAAGTTAACAAGTTAACGTTGATACAATTTAAATTAACTAGTTTAAATTTAAAAGTTAACTCATTTAAAATTAACCAAGTTAAAAATTGTTAAGTTTTCAACTGAACTGAACTTTTAACTGAATAACTGGTTATTATTCAACCTTAATATAATCAAGTGGATAATTTTAACCGGTCAAATGTGAAAGGACACTTTCATTTTGGTAACAGTTTTGACTTTCAAACGAGCGGATTCGTGCTCATGGATTCCGTCAAGTCATTCCATAGTGAGAGTAACGCACCTTTAGTGGCATTGAAAGACGGATCCAATGCCGTTGTGAGATCCCACATTTGTATAGTGCCGTTAGAATGGCCGGTGAATATGAAGCGCCTGGGCCTTGAGCCCATGCCTTCGCACTCGTGCACGTAGAACGAGCTTATAATGCTGCCGTCCACCGACTGTATCACGCAAACTCTTTTCCCGTTCGATGCCAATCGAACAAATAATTGGTCAGTTTCGGGCACAACTTTCTGTACGAATACCTGCTCGTCGTCTTGCTCGCCGAACGGACCTGCATATATATGTGACGGAATATTAAATTATATATGTTAAACATATCAATGAACAATGAACGATAAAGTACGCGCAATTTTTCGCACCAATCTAATAACGCTGATCAACAAATGTCGTGTTATAAATGATATCCACTTTGAATTTTAATTCCTTCAATATATTTATATGTTTATATATAAACAGGAAATGATGATAAAAAAACAATTATTTAGCTATGGTTCAAGAAGTGTAGGCTATTTTAATTTTTGTAAATTAATGGCATTAGAAAGGTGTGAACATCAAGCAACAGAATATATTTTTACTATAATTTCTTATTCTTTTTATATTTCATATTGTTGGAAAGACTAAAATTCTTTTTAAACGTGACATTATTTAATAGTATTTTCTAACAGTCTCAAAATAAAGAATGTTACAATAAAAGAATAGAAATAGTCTACATCTCTCTACAAGAAATTCAAATATATATCACATACTCAACTCTTACAGGAGTCCTACATATTACTTCAAATTTTTAAAAAATTAACTTTGAAGTGATTTTGGAGATATTCCTTTTTCCCTTTTTACATCATAAAAATCTCAAATATCAAATTCTCTTTTGATTGTTGCTTACCATATGATGTAAAGTAATAGTAAGTTTTGACTTTAATTGTTATATTTGTGATTAACGCCATATAATCAACTAGAATTGATTGTAGATCTAAGAGACAATTTTCATCGACCAGTGTAACGGGTAGAGTAGTGCTTTAGAGACATATGTAATATCACAACATACCAAAGTCGTTGCCGGCATTGTAGCTGACGCAAGGGTCGATCGCTTCCAAGGAAACGATTTTGAAGCTCGCCTCAGGCATTGACCCTGGTTGAGTCGAGATCATTCCGCGAAATCTGGTCACCGCCCAACTTCGCACATGATTATATTCCGAGCAGACCGACACTAAGTATTTCTCCGAGAGCGTCACCTGTAATATATTTCGCATGATTAGCTAACGTGGACGGGCACTCATTAGCTGCCTGATAGATGGAATAAAGTCACAGAATATAATGGAAATTATTTCGAACACTGAACTTGTACCCGACTTTTTGTAAATAAACTTTGAATTTTATGACAAAAGGGCACCGAATTAATTTGTACACCTAATATCTGCTCGGATCGGAATTCAACGTACCTTGGTCACGCTGCTCTGATGCACCGTGAACGTTTGAAATAACTGCGGACCGTGACCCACGGTTTCCGGATGCTGTACGATTACTCGGACACTACCGGACTTGGTGCCATATGCGATTTCTATCCAGTTTCCACAGAGACCTGCGTTGGAGATCAGATTTTAGAACGCCTCCCTTCGTATCGTATTAACCACCTGATGCACTTTCGGGAATCGAAGCAAATAAACATATAGATGTTGTCTGCAATTCTTTCATCACGTGTACTATTTCAGTGACACACATCGGCCACGTTCAGTGGAACGTTTATCCCAGCTGTTGGAAGTTTCCCGAGCTGAGATTGAATTCTTTTTTTTTTTTAATTTACAATATATATATAATCCAATAACATAGAATAATCCAATCTCAACACAGGAAACTTCCAACGGCTGTAAAATAAACGTCCTGCTGGAACATGGCCGTTGACTCACTGGGATTTCTTAATTTCTCAACGAGATAGATTCGCGTTTGCAGAAGTGTCATGGAGATTAATTGTTATTTTGTATCACATAGACGTGAAAATTGAACAGTGTATCAGAGGATTAATTCTTGATGTTGTACAATATAGTAACGACAGTAACAATAGATCAAAGACCTTGACGATATAGATGTAGCATGAAACAATGTTTAAACGACACAAATGTGTTCGAATATGCTTAATATTAATACAAAGTAATAATCAGCGCATGAATCGTAAAGCTTCACGATATTGCATGCAGCGAGTACTAATTTGTCAAACAGAACATAACGACGACGATCACAAGTAATAACAATTTCACAAATAACAATAGTTTCACAATTAATAACAATTTCGAACAACTACGTATATATACACGTGTGTATAAAAATGTTAACATTTACAACACAAGTCGATTTGAAATATAATTTATTCCGAAGAGAAAAAGCATCATTCAAAATTTCACCTATGGACTACCAACAAAAGAAAATATAATACACAAGCAAATACGTATATTTTCTGTTACCTCCCCCCCTCCCTCTCTCAGACGCTAATATATTAGAATAGAAGCGAGCGAACGGCTTTGACGATCAATTCGCGCGTGTGTGTGTGCGCGTGTGTGAAATAAACCAACTACGCGAGATAATGCGCGAAAAGTAAAGAAAGAAAAGTTGCATTATAGTACAACTGGACACGCATAAGGACAGCAAGGTTGTGTGTGAGTCGTGCAATCATTGTCCGTGTCTTATGTAAGCCCGCATCCTGTATGCACAACGACGTTGTACAGTGTACGGTCCGTAGTTGCATCTTGCTACGAAAAATGTGTCTTCCCACATGTGTGATTAACACGCTCGCCTTTACGAGTGGTTTGCGTTATTGGCACGACGGGAAGGTATATATTGCGATATCAGGCGATACAGCAGAGAACTCAGTGATATCCGGAGAGGAAGGGAGAGTTAAATTACACGCGACTCTCGACACGTGATGCGGTTAACACGCAAGACGGATGAAGGTTGACGCTTTGAATTTGTGAGATGATGAACATGAGAAGGCGAAACGTCTGCTTATATCGACCCATACTTGCCTTGTGCTATCGATCCAGTTGTACGAAATCATGAAGCAAAGAATGTAATAATAAATTTTCATTAATATCTTTAAGAATCATCTTTCACTTTCACTCTCTCTCTCTCTCTCTCTCTCTCTCTCTCTCTTTCTCTCTCTCCCCCTCTTTCTCTTAAACTTCACAACATATAATATCTTAAGAAATAAAATGTTAATAAAATGCTAGCTTATATGATGATTATGTTAGAATTTGTTGTCTTAATCGCTAAGGGATATAATATTCTTATATCAGCGTGCGTTTGGAATAAAGATTTTGCACGAGACTAGAAAATTCCTGCGCGATTTTCGCGAAATTTTCTCCCTGCTACGTGGCATTCCTGCAATAAGAATCCCTCAATAGCGATCATCAGGTACGTCACTCGTTGGAATTGTTCTTGGCGAGTAGCAGTAGCTAGTTCTAATCGAGAGTGCATTACCTCGGGCTTCCGTAAGTCGTCATTTTATCGAGATCCTTATATTAAGACGTGAGAGTGAGAATAAGAGAGAGCTTACTTGTTTTCGGCGTCAAATATACAGATATCGCAGTTATGGGATCGTAACTTGGGTCTCGATATAATTCAGTCACGAGCAGGTCGTTGTCCTTCATCCGCAAAGGAAACTTTTGCATATCTGTAATACACAATTTAACGTCAATCCTACTGATTAACTGAAATAGAGATACATTACATAATAGTCAGAATTAATGCAATTGTTGATATAAAATTGAATGAAGTTCACTTTTATTCTGTGTTGGCAGAGAAGGGGGGAGGAGGGGGGGGGGAAGGGTAATACCACGTAATATTGGAAGGGGGGAAGAGAAAAAATATTCAAATTTAATGTGACGTAATTACTGAACGGCCCCTTATTGGATTATTTTAATACTGAGTCATGATAATACGCAATTATCCAAACTTGAATTCGGAAATAGATTTCTATTTTCTCTTACCGATGTAATAAATGGACCCATTGTTACAACCCAGCAAGAGGAAGGAGCCAGCCGTATCGAAAGACAAGATAGGCACTACATCCTGTATCTGCCAATGGTGAGTCATTGCGTGCCACACACCGATTTTCCCAGTCGGTGATAACGCAACCAACTGACTGCCGATAAAGAACAGATATTCCACGCGTACGTTCAGATTGAACATACCTACTTTGGACAGTCTATTGACGGTTCCTTCTTCGGATATGCCCCAGAGTCTCACTTGACTACCGTAGGAGATAGCGACCATCTTACCGTCCGCACCACCCATTTTCGCGTTTATAGCCACACGCTCGATTATACACTCGATGTGCGGACTGGTGAACACATGTTGCCATCCGGACGAGTCTTTCAGCCGGTAGCACGTTATGAAATGCGCATAAGCTATCACTATCCAGTTGTGGTGCGCCTTGATGATTTGCACTCTTAGCGGGTCTACCCATAACGAAACTGCGCACAAAGTGGTTCTATTAAAAATTCGGAGAATAAAGGATATTGGTATGCGACTAAAAAATCTGGGATGNGCGGAGCCATTTAAAATTTGTCTTCAAACTCGAGGGCTCCGCTATGGAGACAATGCAAATAACTTTCAGTTCATAACATAAGGACAAAGACAAATCGTAAAAACTATTGTGTATAGGATATTCCGCTCTTGCTATTTGCATTTGAGTTTGAAGAGTTTGAAGACAAATTTTAAATGGCTCCGCTCCGGAGCCCTCGAGTGCAAAGGGTTAATAGGTGAATTTGGGGATTTCCAAGTGTCGATGCCAATGCGTGTGCGTTCTCGAGTGAAAAGAAAACATTATCATCGAGAAGGCGTATTGTAGCTTTTTTCTTTTCACGATAAAAATAGCAATTCTTATACCTATACTATTTATTGTATGTTTCGTTAATGCTCACCTTGCTGCTGCCCAAACACCAGGCTAATGTCGTTTCTGTATAATTTATTTAGATCTGCCGAATTGTTTCTAACATGTCTCAGGTCTAAGGACGGTGTGCGAGAATGTGGGAGACCGCGTTGAGGTAACCGATAGTCTAAGGAGGAATTCCTCATGTGAGTTCCCAGTGTCGCTTTGTGATTTTGTTGTTGGCCTGTGTGACAGTGTTTCAAAGTTAATTTTCCCTTTTCAATTATATCTTGTGATAAAGTTATTTACATAAACGAGATATTAGGTGTGCAAATTAATTCGATGCCTTTGCATTTAACACGTTCGCTGACGACTATACTCGAGTATACTCGTAGTTGGTATATGAGCCTCACAAGTCAACTACGAATATACTCGTATATCGACCTCCTATGCCGAGCACGAGTTCATCCGTAATATAAACACATTAATTTGGATCTTTGGCTTGTGAATAAAGCGGAGAGCACGTCTGAAGGCTTGGTAGAAGGAAATATGCCCGAGGAGCGATGCAACGAATATATTAATGTCCTCTATAACTCTTCTCACGAAGCGAAAAGGTTAAATATGCGTTTTTTGCTGATAGCTTAATTATTATTGGTAGCTTCTAATTACCGGCAATAGCATTTTGATTATTGGAACTGCCAGCAGTTGCAGATTGTGAGGTAGATGGTCCATCAACTCTAGAGTTTGTATTAGGTACAACTCTAATGTGAACAGATACATCGCTGACATTCGATGTTACCGCCACAGGCTCTTGAAGGGGAATACCTTTAAAACAATACAGATCATTGTAGTATTTGTCACATTACAGTGATACCTATCTGGTTACAATATGGTAATATACAGTAACGCCTCACATATGTTTTATCAGTCTTTTCTTATCCATATATATATAATATCTTAAATATATATTAGAAGTCAACTATATATTCTTACAGTCTTCAAACTGAACTTATAAGAGAACTTTACTGTAATTAGTAATACATTCCTGGTCTCTCTTACTTGGAGGTGGTAAGTAACCATAAAACAACACATTGCCGCAGGATGACTGAGTCAAATCTTCACAGAGCATTAAGCGCTTGACCAGAGGAGTAATGCCATAATATTCAGCCTCGTGCCTCAGTGTACGGATATCTATGCTTCTCAGATCGATATCCTTCGTACGAAGATAATTTAATATAATAGAGAATAGCTTCGGATCTCTGTCTATAAAAAGAGCACCAGTCTCATCCTTGTGACTGTCAATCCTGTTGCTTAACAGCGCTGTGAAGAACGAATCTTGGATCCATGTCAGTGTTTGGCGAGATGTGGAAAATCTGAAAGGGAGAAACATCCGTTTTTGCCGATAGTTCTTAACTTTAAGTCACTCTAATATTGTTAGAGATGAAGTAATAGACCAACAATAGGATCTAGCGCACGCATGAACACACACACATATACACACATACACACACATACACACATGTATATAAAGAATTCGAGCGCACCAAAATGAAGAATAAAGGAGACAGTACAAGGAATGGATCTTTGTGTGATCAACAATCGTCACCTGGTGCCGCCAACGTTCAAGTGAACAATATCACTCACGCCTAGATGAGGCACAGCCATTTTCACTGTTATCACGAGTTTTTATAGTAACAATTCATATCTTATGAGATTTTCGGTTGCAACGGAGTCACGACAAACAAAATAATCGCCCAACAGGTTATGTTCAAGATGGGTATCTCTCTCTCTCTCTCTCTCTCTTTCAAATGAGGTTTGTTCGCGTTGCTTGCACTTTTGACACTTTTGTATCTAATGCCCGTTACACACCGAATACGATATCCAATGACAGCTCTTCGTTTTAAAAAGAAGCCAATGCGCAACGGGCGTTAGGTGTACAAATGTCGAAAGCGCAAGCAACACGAACAAACCCATGATTTCAGGAGACCCATCTTTTGAATATAATTATCCAAGTTTTTCTGAATCTCTGCATCGTGCAGGGCACAGCTAAAAAGAACGTGGTTTAAACTCCCAGGTGAGAAACCACATTCACATGCATCAAATAAGATGAGGTTTTTGCGCAGGTGTATTCCTGTACGTACATTCTGTCAAATAAATATCGGGAATTGTTCATTTCAAAAGTTCGCGTAAAAGGTATGAAAATTCTTTTGCTGTAAGTTGGTACTATTGTACCTAATTGTCACGTGGAGTTTTGGCGCCATCTGTCAACCAGTTTGTTTACTACTGTTTACTACGATTTTGTTAGTCGACCTCAAGTGTATTCTGCGATTTTCAAATGGATAAAAATATCGAACAAAGAGTCTGCCTCAAATTTTGTATTGCCAACGAAATCTCTTGTGCTGAGTCGTTGAAAATGTTGAAGAAGGCCTACGGCGAGACAGCTTTATCGAAAACACAAGAATACAAGTGATACAAAGCATTCAAAGAAGACCGAGAAGTATTTGAAGACTTGTCTCGTTCCGGTCGACCTTCAACGTCTTCAACTTAAAAATTCATTATTAGCTTAGATTGCTGTAACATATTATACGATTCTTTTATATTTATTTATTACGATTCTTTTTACGTTTATGTACGATCGATGTTGCCAAGTTTGCGTGAAAACTTAAAAACAACGCGTTACCTTTACCATTGCTCGAAAAGTAACGAACTACAAATCACCATCACAGTTTCTAATATCTCGTGACGAAAAATATCTTCTGCATATATAAAATAACAATTAACGATTTTATATTCGTTGTAGAGAAAGTGTAGTAATTGTTGTTATTGTTACTATCGAAAAGAATAACGTCATCTCTGAGTCGTTGCTGACGATAAGAGCAACTTTCCACCATTGCGTGTTATGCATCGTATTATTCCAGTCGAGTTTATACTGGATCTCGTATGAGTATTCTAAGTCGGAAGTATTCGAATATTACTCTTATTTTGGTATATACATTTATTATTTATACCCCTCAGGGGTGGTTTATTATATAAATTATTGCCTAATTACGAGTCTACTTGTACTAATTACAAGATATTGCTGTTAATAGTAAAATATGAATCATAAGAGGTATACTGACATCATCTTCGCATTCGAGCCAGCATCACATATAATTTTCACTATTCACATAAGAAAAGTCAGACAATTTTGACAACATTGAAAATAATCGCACAGCAAAAAATTGGCTTAACACCTCTTATCTAGTACTCAGCTAATTGTGACTAGTTTAACCAACGGTAAGATATGATAAAAGCGTAATAATGTATGTATTTTTCACATGACGTGGCTTAGTTTCGTTGACAACTAATTAATCCGATGAAAGCCAGAGTAAGATCCAAATTTCGTAAGCACGTGAGAAACACCAGGAAAATTCAATAGCATTCCGACACGAAGAGGTAATTCGGCGAAGGATCAGTTCTTCTCTCATCGCGTTTACGTAATCAACTTTATAACGTGCGCAAGTAACAAGTAAGGCAAAACGAACTTGAATGCAGGTTTTATTTACATATCTTGTTAGCAGCGTGATTTTACGGCTGTCGATTCTTGTCGTATTAGAAATTAGGGACACGAGAGAAAGTCAATTCGCCAATTGTAATCAGATAGCTCCGGAAGCTCGACTTTTCTGGTGCAACATATTTTCGCGAGAATTCGCAGAAAAAAAACGCGTGAAAAATATTATTTTATTTCATTTTATCACATATACGCACGGCAATTGTCTTTCGTAATGTAAATATAGTTTCCAGATAAATAGAGAATGAATGACAAACGAATAAAAACTCGACTATAATTCTACCGTGATATCGCATAATGACGAGCAAAATGATCTCTCTCAGAATATCAAGACAGTTTAACATATAGCCGCATTGTGTTTTGTAATTATTTGCCTAAAGATCAATTTCACGCAATTTATCAGATATACATAGTTCTCTCTTCGATCCATAGGTAGATGCGTGACTTTTTGAGAATAAAACGGCCGCCGTTCTCGAGAAAATCATAGTAGATAGTCGCTCTGGCCCATCCTATGTGTTTAACGCTGATAATGAACGCTGTTAAAGATCGATCATCGATGGTTACTGTTTGAAATTTCAGATAATCGCGCGATAACTACTCGGCGAATTACCTTCGACCGAGTTTCCTCGTGTATTCGCACAATGCTCGAATAAACGTGCAATTGCTCAAATAAAAGCGTTCCACGAGCAATTGTTCAAATAAAAGCGACTGTCACGAGAATGATTCCGATGTGGACGCAATATGCTAGATGGATCAAGTGAGCCGCCGTGTTGTACGCGTAGAATTCACCGGGAATCATCCACGGCTCCCACGTGTTGTTCGTCCTCCTCGGATCGGCCGGCCAGTCCAGATGCACCGTTGCCTGCCTGGTGACATTCTGCGCGTACTGCACCAGGAACAGGTCCAATTCCCGGACGATCTGCGGAAACAACAATGGTCATACACTGAGAAAAAAAAGATGAAAAATTTACCTGTGAAATATAAGATTTCTTTCACAGAAATAAGCGTTTCTTCAAATACGACGGAATAAACGGTTATTTCCAGCAAGTAAACGAAAATTAATAAGAAAACTCAGATATATTTCACAAAAATATATGTTCCGTCGTCACAGTTAATTGTTTTCCAACCAATGAATATCGAGGAAAATGTCACGAGAAACATTTACTTCGCAGAATTTCAAATCTTTTTCTACCGTGTGACAATTTCTTCGCTCATTTTCTTCGACATTCAGATCTTTGGCTTTCCTCACCCTGACATATTGATGAGCGATGTTCTTTGTCTCGCAAGGGTCATTGTTAATGTCGAAGAGACAGTCGGTGACGTTGCAAGTGATAAAGCTGTTGTAGTAGCTGATATTGCGCCGGCAATAGATCGTGGCCTCCAGTCGCAATTGATTCATCGTGCTGGGTTGAGTGACAGGCCCACCCAGGTGATAAGTGATACTCTGCGACACCAGACTCTTCAGCACGGTGTCGGTGTACGATAGCACTTCGACCTCTTCGTTGCTCTTCTTAATCTCAATGGGCACGAATCTCCCGGAATCGCCATAATGTCCGTCGTAATGTCCGCCTTCGAACGAACCTGAGACGCGAAGAGTCTCTTCGTGAGTCCGTGAGGAACGAAATCGAAATCGTATCGTCGCTGATACCAAGAAGCTGATTACAACACGAACTCGACACGTGCAATATTTTGCCCGACTCTCTCTCTCTCAAGAAAGATCAAAGTTTCTTGTATCGCTGAAACCGCAGATTTCACATAAGCTCAGCTAGAGCCCAGCTATGTAAAAAATTCTCACTTTTTGTCACGATATTTTTTAACTCGAATTAAAATTATCTGGACTCGAGTTGGTACTGCGTCTTCTCTTTCATCAGATTTATCTTCGACGTTTCGTGAGACATTTCAGTTCATCTTTCCAGAGAAAGGAACAACCCGAGACTGTTTCGGACACGGCACCAGCCCGAAATCCAGATCAAGCGTTTCTCCACACCGCGAAAGCCTGAAATATCAGCTTAAAAGTTCGTTAAAATATTAGACTGACAAGTAAAATATCTCGAAAAAGTAAATTCACGTTTTTCTCCTTCCTTCGTCTGACTCAGAACTGCCCGAGTCGCGCTAAGATCGAATTCAATTCTCGGTTCCTCCAAAAATTTCATTTCCACATCGCATTCTCGCGAATACTTCGCATCGTTTTGCGCAACGGTTCGAATCGAGGATGAAACAGTACCCCGAAGAAGCTTGAACGATTTGTATATGGCGCCTTCGGTCTTGGAGACCTCGTCGATGTTCAGTAAGAGCGTCTGCCTGACTTCTGGATGGCCTTCGCTCAACATTCGCCACTGGTCGACCCCGTCGATCTCTCCCAGATCTTTCAGGTCACCGCCAGCAGCCGAATAGAAGGTCGGTAGCCAGTCGGTTATGTGCACCAGCTCGTTGCTCACACGCGCCGCCTTGCGCAATCTTGGCGACCAAAGTACGGCGACTCCTCTCACGCCTCCCTCATACAGCGTATATTTCATCTGTCGCCACGTAAATACACAAGATAAATTATATTATTATTATATTCTAAATTTTTTATAAATTATTATATGTTATAAATTAATTTAAATTTTATCATAAATAAAAAAAAAAAATAATAATACAATTAGAAATACAAATGTTCCGACTTTCGAGCAAAATAAATTTGATATGCTTAGCTTAACACGTATATCACTAATTTATTGATTTATTTTCATGATAAGATTACTTTGTCACTAATTGGGACATTCATCTTACCACCGTGTGCAACTGGCGAAACTACTAGGTCACGCGAAAAGTGCAAGTGTGTTAAAATACGTACGCCTCGCAAGGGATAATTGGAGCCCCAATTGCGAAACTTGCCGATAGGCGCCGCACCGTTATCGGTGAGGAAAAGGATCAACGAGTCCTTCAGCATCCCCCGATTGCCCAAGGTGTGAACGATACGTCCAACGGACTCGTCTAATCGCGACAGCATCCCTAACGAAGGCAGAAAATAACGATATCGGGGACGAAAGGACCTCGCAATCCTTTGCGTTCCGTCTAAAATTTCTTACAAAACTTTCGACTTTCGGCTTTGAGGTAATTGGTTTCTTAAAACATCTTCATAAGAATCCTTTTAAATTTTAGCTACATATTGATGAAAATGCCATTTACACGTCTGTTAAAAAATGATTAACTATTCGGGGACTGAAATATTCGCAACTGTAGACTTTTATATGTGTTACTTGAACGTTAACGTCCTATTGTTAATTTCATTTAAACTACATTTAGAATGTCGTCGAGGACGGCCAAATCCGTCCAATTTTCGCGACAAACGCGATCGTACGTACTGGCATACTTGCGACGATTCACTTCTCGGATGTGCTTGAAGCGTTGGTCGTCGCTATGATGGTAATCTTCCGGGCTCTCGATGGGCGCGTGAACGGCGAGATGTGAAATTTGGAGATAAAGAGGCCAGGGCGGCTCGTGATGCTGAATGATCTTCATCGCTTCGTCGGTGAACAGATCCGTCGCGTATCTATCGTTCAAACCATAAGCCGGGTTGTCTCCACGGTGCATATCGTATCCGCTCATATTCTGAAATGTACGCGTCGATAACAAAGCGACAAAACAATATATATATATATAATATCATTAACGTGATACAGACCGAAAATTTGAGCTTGACGGGACTCGTGTGCGTCGAGATCAACGTGTTAAATATATGCAACGTGTACATACTCTGTACCTGATATGAATATTTATAGTCAAAGTACGAAACGTGACTATTGTAGAAGCCGAAGAACGCGTCGAAACCTCGATGTATGGGGATGTGCTGAGGCGTGTAGTACCCCAAGTGCCATTTCCCGATCAGTTTCGTCGTGTATCCTAAGCCTCGCAGGTACTCCGGCAAGATCTTTATATTGAGAGGTAGTCCTCTGGGCTCACCACCCCGTATACTTTCTCCCTGCATACCTGCATGAGATACGTTACAACATCTATAATGCGTAAAATATAGGTCGTACTTTTAATACGGAAGCAAAAACGCAGCAATAACAGAGAGAATATAATTCCAGGGAGGAAGCTTTCGTTTCATCTCTTGAATGTCCCCGACTTAAATTAAAAGTATTTGCTTGCATTTCTCCGAGTGTAAATTTTGCGGGACGCTTATGACGGCCAATTTTGGTCAGAAAGACCAATTAGACGTCGTAAATGAGGAAAATCGTACAAAACGTACCCAAACGTATCGGGTACTGCCCGGTGAAGAAGGCGGTCCTAGAAGGTGTGCTAGATGGCAAAACGTAATGCCTATTGAGTATAATTCCGTTATAGCCCAAGGCGTCTATATTCGGAGTCGGGATCTGATTCGAGCCGTGGAAACCGACGTCGTTCCATCCCTGAAAACGTCGAGCATCGTTCTTCAATCTGCTCCGTTGCATCCGTCGCATCAATAATCGTCTCGTTTTTTAAGACGATTTCCTCGCGGGAAACATCTAAGCCGCGGAAAGGCGATCTATTTCGCGTCGCTTCGCGAAATAGAAGCCATCCGTTTGAAATGCGCATCCGTGCACGTGCCGGACGTCTGAAGTGACGACCGACGAATTACGTGGTCAAATTAAATTATAATTGACGCGTAGGGAATTATGATTACGCCGGATAGTTGGAATGAGTCACAATTCACGGCGTACTTGTTGATCGCCCTGAGGCGTGGGCAATACGCGAGCTACGATAATTGACTTAACTAAGAACAATTTTAATTCGTGATACTTTCTTGCGAACCAATCGGGCCGAATCAAGTGGGCAGAAAGCAAACATGAGTAATGTATTGCGGCAGTTGTGTAAATCGTTGCGTAAAACGAATACGATTTTACACGTGCACGGGCAAAATACATATCATTATATAACGTCTTTGTAGAAAAAGGCGGAATAACATAAGTGGTGAAGTAAAATAAGAGAAATGAGAGAAATTCATATTTTATTTCTATTTCGATATAAAATTTCACTTTCCGGAAGCACTTCAAAATAACTTTGAATATCTCTTCTCGTTTCTCTGGTTGTGAAGCAGACAATTGGATTAGGTTTCAAATAATAAATATCTTTCTTAAATTTTATCGTATACCCCATTCTTATGGGATGTACAGCAAAACTACAAGCGTTCCTAAAGGTTCCTCTGTTAAAAATAGCAAGGAAATATTTCGTATTTCCAATTTTTCTCACAGCAGTGAACAATATACAGTTTTTATCTGTATAGTTCATTTGTCTCGAACATAATAAATAATTGATTATTTATTATGTTCGAGATATGAATTAAGTTTCCCTCAGGCGCGCCGTACATACCGGAGTTACCCTACTTTTTACTTTCTCCGGGAGGAAAGAAAGGATCGCAACGTCAGACCAAAGTGTCTCACCAAGTCATCGACCATGAAGACGATTATGTGCGGCGCCGTGCTGAACAAGCCCGATGCATCTCCGAACAGCAGAGTACAATATAGAAGAACGAGCACGTTACACCGCACGATCGTCGAACGTGGCATCGTTGATTTTCGATTCAACACGGAGGAATATACGCAAATTTAGCTTCCTGCACTTTATCCTTTCTCTCTCTCTCTCTCTTCCTCACGTCACTCGACGACAAAATGCGCGCGAACGGAGGACGAAACGCGCATTATGCGTGCACGGTGTGCATCGAACAGCCTCGAACGGGATACGGAAGAGCGAGGAGATGGTATAAACACGTTTATATAAGCCACCCACGTACTTGTAAATAGGCCACCGCGTAGGGAAAGGGTAGGGAAGGGGAGGTGTACTAATGACCGCGACAATGAAGATGGTAACGTATTTTAAACTGGGTTGCTTCTCATCTTACATCCCATCTTCCCTATTTATCCAATTCCGACCGCGGCCGTGTAGAGAATTTAGGAAGGTAACGTAAGAGAGCTGCGAAAGCACGTGCACCACCTCCGTGTCCTTCCGCTACAGACAGTTTCGCGATTTTTTTCCTCTCCAAGAGGAGGCCTCGTCACCGTCCTTCCGGAAATCTATTACGGGGGTGTAACGAGTATATATATATATATTTTCCTCGCATTGAAAATAACACGTACCTACTTATACAAGTATGTGTACTCCACCTGCATAAACAAAAATTTACGTTGCCACGCCTCACGACATTGCAGTTATATTGTCGACGTCTCGCACTTTATCGAGATTGTCCAGATTGTCCCAATACTTTAGCAGCAGATTGTGCTTAATGAATAAATTGAACCACGTTGTAAACGGCGCCTCGGCAGTTTTCATAAAATTCTCGATCTCCGATCGGGACACCCATCGAATCTCGCTTATTTCTTCCGGATAAGGATCTAGAGTGACGTCCTTTTTGAGAATCAACAAATAATCGATCTCGCGTTCGCCCCAATATCCGTTGGTCGCTCTGTAGAAGATTCTAGTCATATAAAACAGATCGGAAAAACGAATTTCCGTAAGGGGTATGCCCAACTCATAATTGAGTCGCCTCACTGCTGCTTTGCGAACACCAACGGCATCTTCTTCTTCTTCTTCTTTTCCAGGTATATTCGCGAGTGGACGACTGCAGCAGGTATTCATGTAATGACCCGGGAACGTTATCTATATACATAACATAAATTTTCACATTATAAATATATATCTTCACAGCTTATCTTCATTATATATATATAAATTGATAAATAGATAGACTTCAAAATGTTTGATATAAGAAATAGATGACGTTTCTATAAATAATATCAAATATAATCGAATCATGCTTAATTATTTGATATATATCTCGTTATTTAATCCATGATCCAATCAATAATTGCATGTATATCTCAAAATATAATGAAACAATAACAATACATTAATTCGACCTTATTTTGGGACCGCTTTTGGAGCAGCATCTCTCCTTTGCTGTTGAATAGGAAAACGCTGAATCCCCGGTGGAGCGGTAGCTGTCGATCCACTCTGATCTCGTATAGTCCATCTTGGAAAGCTCGCCAATGGATTTGTCTTCACGATTTCCAATATACAACGCTCCTCCATCAGAGCGGCTTTTTGCATCGGTGCTATTCGTGTTGAATAATTATTCCCCGTAGCCGCTGTCATCTTCTGCACGACGCTGTACAATCCTCTGCATGCTCCTCTTATCATGATGGCCGAATGTCGGATAGCGCTCCACTAATAGCGCTCTGCAAACGAAGATTTATCTTTCCCATGTGAAAATAAACGACGAACAGGCATGTTGAAACGTTCGTTCAACAAGTGACGTATTCATGATAACATTTGTGGCGGCTCTTCGGGAGTAATTTAAAGGTGGGAGTAATAACGTGAATCGAAGCAGAAGCGCTCAAACACGTATCATGCGATGTGCCGATGATATGACAGAATTCTTTCGGTAGGACCACGCGTAATACTTAGTCCTACTTTACATTGTGACATTCGAACCATCATTGAGCTTTATTAGCGAAAAGCCAAGTATATATTGAACTTTGGACCCCGAATTTTAAATCTGCCGCACAAAAAAGTCCTGTACCATTTTGCAAATAATACGGAAAATTGTTGAGTTATTAATTAAAGAAGCCTTTATACATGGCCATTTTAAATAATTAATACTACCTCGAATTATATGAATAACTCGAAATTTAACTCGAAATTTCAGACTATTTTACTTAACTTCGATGGTCGGTTTAACCAAATATTATAACGATTAATCCAAACAATAAATTAGCTGGAAACAAATACGAAGAAATTGAAGTCAAACAGGAATACCAAATTAAAAGAAATCCTTTTCTCTCTTTGCGCAGGTCCTGCACTGAAGATAAGCATTTTCAGAAAATACTTGAAACTTCCTCGTAAAACATTTTTCATATATAGAGTGTCCCAAACCGTTCTCGGCTTCCCAGTGCAGGTGTGCAGGGTAGAACAGGTGAAACCGAACAGAAAAGTCACGTGCTGTGATTTGCAAAATTCACAATAGTTAGTAAGGAATTCATTATTTTGTCTGAGATAATGAACTCGGGGAAAAGGTAGACCGGACCTGTATGAAGAAAAATAGCTTACTTCGGAAGATCTCCTATAGTCTTCATGTTTATCACTTCGACGTATCACAATCGTTATATATTTTTCGGCAGTGTTGGCCACAAATAAGAAAATTGCAAAATTTGCACGTCATTTTTGTCCGTCAGACGTATAAGAATTTATGTAAAAGTAATACTCTATGTTTCAGGGACATAGTAAGTTTCCAAACAGATCTACTCACCTTAAATAATCGTGTTAGGTCCGCCACCGACGCAGTAATGAGGCCAGTTTATCAGCAGAGGAACTTCGGCCTGTTCTTTATAGCTGTACTGCTGACTGCTGCAAGAAACTGAAGTGAGAAAACATATACTTGTCTTATTTACATACTTCACCGTATTGCATTAGTTTAATAGTGCAGATATAAAGATCAGATCATATATTGCAATATCGGCAATCGTAATCGTTGGTGCAAAGAAAAGAAGTGAAAAAAACTATTCGTGTACGTCTGGAAGATGGAAGGTTGTAGTGTCAGAATTAAAAAACTGTGTATACATAAGAGCTGCTCGGTTTTTGCCACCAATCCGCCGTGAGATTATGCGTATGAAAAGTCAGTTTATTGACTTTTATTTATTTATCACCCAAATTGCGCCGTGGCTAAACGCCTTTGCACATAACAAATGCTTATGTAATTTTAAGTGACCGTAAACGTAATTTTTATGTAATTTTACGTTATCGTAATTCCGTAATTCGTAATTTATTTAAATTTACGTAACCGTAAAAAAACAATTGACTAATCACAGTCGATTGTTCTTCGAGCGCAAAAAGTATAATCAACTGTGATTGGTCAAGTTTTTCACGGATTTACGGTCACGACTAAAAATTTCTTACAAAGGCCTTTAAAGGTTAAACGTAGTTCCATTGTTTTGTTTCCATTGTAGCCAGACATGCACGGAAAAAAATTAATTTGCCAGAACAGCAAATTGTTTGTTAAAATAGCGACAGCAAAAGACTAATATCAGCTAATGAGTATCGGTTAATGAGCAATCAATCAATTTCCGTTGAATGCAATAAAATTAAATTTTGTGAGTTGGTTAAAAACTCCCAGAATCGCTCAAATATCGAGCCTAATTTTTGTCCAACCCAATATAGGTAATCGATAGACTTTAAAAAGAAAGTTCTAGAATAAGGAACTTCTGTGATGTTACGAATTCCTGAACGTCGCGATCGAGAAGAGGCACGATAATTAGGAAATTCCTTTTTATTTTTTCTTATCACTTCTCACTTGATTTCACTGACGGAATCGAGCGATTTTATTTTCCGGTTGCGACACGCAACTCACCGATCACCATGTTCGAGCAATCGCGTTCGAGGAGACGCTTCGGTGAGACGATTAAACAAGCAATTGTTTCGCGTATCTCATAATTGGAGAAAATCAAAATGTAGAGTCGCTTGTTGAAAGCGGTAAATATTTCACGGTCTAGAAATAACACAGAGAATGTAAATCGTTGATCGCGTGAAAAAAAGGGGAAAAACATTGGTAGGCAACACGTAGCCTTTACGCGAATAGAAAATATTAACTGAGAATCGTAGGAAAAAAAGTCGTAAACGCTTGAAACGCGCGACTAGCACGGAATGACGCAAAGTATGCGTATAAAAAAATATCGGTTGCGAAAAAAGTGAACGGTGCAAATTACAAACATCACCATGTGTATTTCATGTATGCTCATTATCATATTCATGATAATGTTTAACAGTGCGTATTTCGCAAGATACACGTGGAAACGAAACTCCAAGAACGTTCTATCATGAACACAGTCAAGGATTTGGTCGAAATCTTGTACATTTTACTCACATCAAAGATATCATTTTTCTACTTACACTAGTATGTGTATATATACATACATATATATATATCCATTACATAAAGAAATATATTTATATTTATCCACAACTGCTTCAGATCATACAAGTTACAAGGAATATCCACGTATAAAAAATTTGAATTAGAAAAACGCAGTTACAAAAAACGTTTACATTATTTCTACTACTTTTAGGAGCGTGTTCAGGAAGCGCTCAACAATCAGCGTTAAAGCGTCATTTGATCTATATCGTTGACTGAACCAAGAACAGAATGTCGCCACGCGCTTCCTGAACGCACTTTGCAGTGATACAAACTGTACTGAAGGCGTCCGATGAACGTCGGACGAACGAACGAACCAATTACCGATAAATCATCAACGTAGCAATCAGTCGAGACATTCTTGTTAGATATCATGCTGAAGATCGGCGCGCTAGTTTCAAGGTGACAAAATTTGCATCGTCGTGCGTCACGATAGTACGGTTATATTATCGACATCTTGCATCTTATCGAGAGTCTCCAGATTGTCCCACCACCATTGCAGCAGTTTGTACTTCAAGATTAACTGGAACCACGGTGTTAACGGCGCTTGCACGGTTTTCAGGAAAGTAGGACTCTCGATCTCCGATCTAGTCACCCACCGAACCTCGCTCACTTCATCGGGATTTGGATCTATGGTAACGTCTTTCTGAAGGAACAGCATGTAATCAATCTCGTGTTCGCCCCAGCGACTATCGCTGACCGCCTTGTAGTGGATTCTGGTCAAGTAAAGTAACTCGGTAGGTTGAATCTCCTCGCTGGGTATGCCCAGCTCGTAACTGAGTCGTCTCACCGCCGCTCTGCGAATACCAATAGCATCTTCCTCCACCGTTTCCCCGGGTATCTCCGCGAGCGGGTGACTGCAGCATGTATTTGTATAATGATCCGGAAACGTTATCTATATGTAACATAAATTCTCATTGTATATGTAGTTGCATATTTCCTCCGCAGTTTATCTTCATATACAGGATTATATACAGGAATATATACAGGATATATACAGGAATATATAAGCCGACAAGTAACTTTCAGAATATTTGTGACTCAGCTATTTCTCGGCAGCAATTATCTGTTTGATGACGTCATTGGCGAGAAATAACATGTGATAATAAGTTTTTTGCAGCACGTAGCTTTGTTTTTTAGTTTTCCCATGAAAAAAACATATAACAGTTTCGTAATTCTAAAGATCGTGAAATATACGCCCAACTGAGAGGTGTCTGTAGAATTGGAAAATAATTTTTCTCTTCTCGGTCATTTTTCTGCAGTACTTAAGTGACCGTGACAGCTGTCTCAGTTTGGTCAGTATATTTTATTAGTTTCAGGATTATGAAGCTATTTATCTTTCTCAGGGACAACTAAAAAATAAAATTATATGTTGTAAAAAACTTACTGTATATCATTACCTCACCTATGACGTCACAGATCCAATTTAATTGCCTGAAATAACTGAGCCTTAATGCAAGGAATACAGATAAGGTTCCTGTAAATAATATCAAATATGATTGTGAATAATGTTTAATTATAATTTAATATATATTGTTACTTAACATACACACAACTCTTTTATATATATAAATATAATATTGTCTTATTTAATTCAAATATTTTTTAAAATCTGTAATCAGCTCAAAATATGTCACAATATCATGACAATAATAAATAAATATATGATAATATCACAGATGAACATATTTTGGTATATTGTCTGTATCATAACTAGCATAAATATGTTAAGATATATCCTTATACAATAAGAATTTTGTCGGTAGGGAAGACTAGGACTGGTTGGCTGATGGGATAAGTTGGCTAATTGATTATTTCTGTTGTTTTCTATTCATATTACAAAATCAAGCAAGCAGAGATCTCAAATATGTCAAAGATGGTTATGAGATTCCTATATGCTTTAGCAAATTTAAATCCCCCTATATAAAAGAAGCCATCTGACATTATGAAAATTGCTTACTTTAAAAGAGAACGCAATTCATGTGCTGCAATAATAAGTCAATACATATACAAGTCAATACATTGACTAAAATTATGGTATAATAAATGAATGAACTTCCCGACAAGGCTGTTTTACACAGACATACGACGATATGTTTACCTACGCAGTGAAGCCTAACACTGATTATTTTATCGCACATATGAATAACAATCTCCTAAAAATAACTTTTTCTAAAATAGCTCCAACTAGTATGACTAACATGCCTACAGAAAATACGACCACAAAGAATTAAACATATGCAGTTGCAGTTATATCACAAAATATAAATCAAATGTATGCATACAACGTCCAATATTTCTATCTGGAGAATAATAAATGAGCCAACCGACCTTATGCTTGGATCTCTTTTGAAGTAGCAGCTCTCCTTTGCTGTTGAACAGGAAAACACTGAACGCTCGGTGGAGCAGTACATCTCCTTCCATATTGATCTCATGACAGGCCCTTTTGGTGGCTTCACCGACAGACCTGTCCAGATCGTCCACCAATATACAACGCTCCTCCAGAGCGGCTTTCTGCAACGGTGCTATTTGTGCGGTCGCATAATTGTTTCCTGTAGCCGCGCTCATTCTCTGCACGATGCTGTACAATCCCCTGTACGCTCCTCTTATCATGGTTATCGAATTACTTGTTCACACTTGAGCGACTTCACAGCGACTAAACTGCGGAAAGAAACAAACGAAGGAACTTAATCTTCTTTAACGTTTTAAAAAAAACCAACGAGCGTGCGCACGTTAAAGCGTCCACCCGACAGATGACACGTGCGATTATGCGACACCGTAAGAGATTTCCTTGAGAATAATTTAAAATAAAATTAACATGAGAACCAGAGCGACCGAACGTGTGCACGATGGGTTGACGACAAACATTCTCTGAGCGGGATCATGAATAATACGCTGGGTCGCATACTTTTACATCGTGGTATTCGAGTCACCGTTCAGCTTTCCAAACGAGAAACCAATCACGGACGAGCCTGGCGCCTTTTCGCACGCAACTTCAATGTCGACGGTCGACGCGGAACTGAATCTCTGCATCGTTGATTAAACGCTACGGAAGGTTAGGAACGAGTGATAACGGACCGATTAATCGATATTCGATTATTGTCATCTTATCAAAGGATCGATCGATCCTCTTGATCGTTCTCAAATTGAAAAATTTGATATCAACTTTTTAACCAATTTTACTGGGCACACGACTTCTGTGTGTGTATACACGCAACGTTAATTCGAACTGCTTTGAAAGTGCTTAGATGCCTCGCTTAAATGTTTATTTCTCGTCCGGTCGGGATTTTTATTTCTCATTGCTGAACAGAGAATAAAGTCCGCGCAACTAAATATTAAATATTAAAAATAAGAATTAGAAAAAGTGTGATTGAACGTAACGCACAATAGAAAAGAACGAAATAAAGATATAAATATAGAAATACATGTCATATGCAGCCGTTCATTTCGTTCATCAAGCCGATGTTCGTAGTCGGATATTTAAAACCGTCTCAAGTTTATCTTCAGATGCTTCGTAGCCAATGAAATGAGCTGTAGAACATCTGAAGATAAACTTGAAACGGTCTGAGATGTAAAATCCGACCGCGTTCGTGTGCGCTCCACTTAACGTTCGCAACGATCGCGAGCATCATTCTATTCTTGTCTCTCTTAGATATTAAACAAAGACAGAATAATGCTAGCAATCGTTGCGAGCATTAAATGGAACGTGCTTTATGAATACCGACCTACGACTCCGTCTTTTTCTTGTTAAATGACCGAGAAACATAAGTTCCTATTAACCAAACTTCGTTTTCTTGTTGGAGATAGTGGCGACTCGTAGCGGAGACTTCGAAACTAACAAGAATAACGGGTCATTCACAAGCTCAGACCCGTTAAACGTTCGAAAATTTCATGTCCGTCAGTGAGTTAACTTCGTGTTCACCGTAACCTCCCGCGATGTTGCGACGAAAACGCTGAATGATAATGAGAGAAAATCAGTGAAAGCTTTCGCGCGATTTCGGTGAAAGCGATTGCACGACTGACGACACGAGTACATTCAGGAAGAACCGTCAACTCGCTGTTGCTCGCCGAACTTCTAATTTACGCGATACGAGCTCGACGAAAGCTTAACCTATACAGCTATGCGAAACCTGTAGTTCGGTCGCCAAACGTTGATTACAGCGAGGAAAAATGTGCACTGATATGAGATAGATGAATTTACACCGTCACGGGGATATTTGAGAGGTTTTAGCGAGAGCGTTTTTCCCGGTTTTCTTCGTCAGATCTCTGCTCGAAAGTACAGCGAGCGTAGTGTTCACTGTACCGATCCCTGTTGCACACGCGCGAAATCATGGCTGTGTCGATAAACGAGATCTGCGAGAACACGAAGCTCGCCCGTGAAATGGCATTGATGGGGAACTACGACACGTCCGGCGTCTATTATCAGGGTGTAGTACAACAGATTCACAGGCTGCTCGCGACTATAGAGGACCCAACTCGCAAGGCAAAGTGGCAGGTTGTGCAGCACCAGATCGCCGAGGAGTTCGAGAAAGTGAAAGCCACGTCAAGTACCCTGCAGCTTTTCAAAGTGGACACCCATGCAGAAAGACTAGTTGGTACTGCGATCGATCGAGATAAACTTCACGTATGGATATCCAAGTCCCGTTGTATGATATACAATGGGTCTTTCAATTTCAGGAACTTCTTGTTTGTCATTCGAGGAACCAACGCGAGATCCTGCTTTGTGGTCTTACGCTAATTCAGATGCCTGGAATCAAACACCGAGCAGGGACCCAGACGTGTGGCCTCCGTTGACTCCAGCTGAACAGAAGTATTATATCATAAACAGGGGTTTTTTGATATCAATACCTAATGTCTGAATTCTGTTGGAACTTTATTTCAATAGAATTCTATTTTGTTTCTGAACGTATATTCTACATTGTAAAGAAGTACTCAACCAATGTTTTCCTTTTTCTATTTCCAGAAATTCAAGACAACAAAAAGTCCAACAAAAACAACAAAATCGATCTAACGCTAGGAAGTCTCTGACTACAGCTAAAAAGCCAGACAGCAAGATTGTTGGCAAGAAAGATGATAAGAAGACCGTGAAGAAAGATGACACAAACAAGGTACCTTGATTCGCCGGTATTTTGTGATCTGATGTTTCTAAATATTAATGTGAGTTGAAACTAATTTTACAGGACAAAGCGGAAACAGAAAAAGTCGATGTCGAACTGGAGGAACGAAAATTCGAGCCGTCTGCTAATGATAAAGATCTCGTGGAGATATTAGGTAACGTTGCTATATTGTTGTTACAGCAAACAAAAATACGAGAAGAAACAACGAGATAAAATCATTGATCGGCCGATCATTACATTACAGAAAGAGATATCGTTCAGAAAAATCCAAACATCCACTGGGACGATATAGCAGATTTGCACGAAGCGAAGAGATTGTTGGAGGAAGCGGTAGTGCTGCCGATGTGGATGCCAGACTTTTTCAAAGTACGTCTCCTTTGATCCGTCATCGATTGTGGTATCTCGTAAGCGTTGGCGTGTAAATATCACATTTTTTTTTTAGGGAATTAGGCGACCTTGGAAAGGAGTGCTCATGGTTGGGCCGCCAGGCACAGGCAAAACCATGCTCGCGAAAGCCGTCGCGACGGAATGCGGCACGACGTTCTTCAACGTCTCGTCCTCCACGTTAACGTCCAAGTACAGGGGCGAATCGGAGAAACTCGTCCGATTGTTATTCGAGATGGTAAAACTACGATAAATCATTTTTTTCTTTCGCGACATATCTTATAATAGAGCTTCTCTCGAAGCGAAGACGCACGAGAAATATCCTACGCGCGACATTAATCGTGTTTTATTGCGTGAACACATGCAGGCCAGATTTTACGCGCCCAGTACAATCTTCATTGATGAAATTGATTCTCTATGCTCCAGAAGAGGATCTGAATCAGAGCATGAAGCTTCACGTCGCGTGAAGTCCGAGCTTCTTGTTCAGATGGACGGAATAAGCTCCAACAGGTAAAACATTGTGCGATATATTTCGTGCTATTTCTTTACGTTATCGATTAACCCGATGGCTGAACGTGTTCATTTTTTGTACAGCGAAGATCCCAGTAAAGTGGTGATGGTACTAGCAGCGACAAATTTCCCATGGGATATCGATGAGGCGCTGAGAAGACGCTTGGAAAAACGCATTTACATTCCACTACCCAATCGTAAGTTTTGTCGCCTTTCCTTTTTCAATGAGGAGGTGCACACATACACAACATGTGCTTAAAATATCTAGCGTAAATATATCTCATTATTCCCGATCTCTGTATTGTACAGATGAAGGCAGAGAAGCACTGTTGAGGATAAACCTTCGCGAGGTCAAAGTGGACTTGTCCGTAAACTTGACAGACATCGCCAGGAAACTGGAGGGTTACTCCGGCGCGGATATAACGAACGTTTGCAGGTGAGTAAAAATGGTCGCTCGACAGCTGAAACGTCTCACAGCTTACTTTATCCGACGTTTATCCTTCGCTAGGGATGCATCTATGATGCTGATGCGCAAGAAGATCGCCGGTCTCAGACCAGACCAGATCAGGCAATTACCGAAGGAGGAACTGGACTTGCCCGTGTCCGCCGCGGATTTCGACGAGGCCGTCGAGAGATGTAACAAAAGCGTTTCTCAGGAGGACTTGGAGAAATACGAGAAGTGGATGAGCGAATTCGGCTCGTCCTGATATCGTTCTATCGGAAAAATCACAACGTAACTCGCATTATATGCTGACAGCACACTCGTTGCTCCTATGACATAATTAATATGATGCCTATTATCTTCAACGTATGTACGCGAAGTGTGAGGAGCTTATTAATCTTTCGCATATCCTATAAGAACAACTTCTAACAGTTTAATAAACTCGGATTTTAAGAGAATCAAATTGGAAGAAAAAAATCAAGACTGTACGGTAGAAATAATATGAGGTAGAACTCGGTAGAACTCTTCTAATCACCGAAGGCTAACGCTTCAGTAACAAATTTGTCGTAATCAATGAAATTCTTAGCTGGTAAATGTATTTCACTGACCAAGCATAAGATTATAACGTTTGAAATGATGCCTAAGTATATCGATATTTCACAGTTTATACATACAGATCATGTACGTCTCAGTCTCTCGGAGCACAACCTTCTTTCCGCAACTTTCGCGTTTCCTCGTCTATATTTTTGGAATCCTTCGGCACTTTGTAATTGGCAACGTGATCCACTCGTATTACTCTGCCCAGTATCTGTAGAAGAAGGATAGGTTTTTTTTTGACACCGAAAGGCACTTTGAACTATTATCGTGATTTACAAGGAAAGAAAAAATTTTATCGCATGTATAAGAACGATGACGTATAAATTATATTATTATATTATTTAAAGATACAGAGTGAGCTTCTAAAGGAGTATCACCAAATTTACTTGCACTGATATCTTTGCAATACCCCTTTACGCTCACTCTGTATAATTGTGATATACTTATGTGTGAGTCATTATTACTTTACTAAATATTTATTTAACATTGTTAACAAGTAAAAAATATATTGTACTGCTATTTTGTACTTCTGTTTGAATATACCTTTATGCCATTAAAATTGTCAACCGCCAGTATGGTGCTCCTTTGATCTTCATAGCATAGAAAGCCATATCCCTTTTGTTTCCCAGTGTCCTTGTCCCTGATCAAGTTTATATTGACTATTTCACCATACCTGAGATATATTACAATTACATAGAAATCTCACCAGTTGTATAAACAATAATCATCACTTATACGTACATTTTGACTTACTGGGAAAAAATAGCAATCACATCACCCTCTGTCAAATCATACGGTAAGCCACCGACAAAAATCCAAGCGCTGTCTTTATACTGATCATGCCATGACGTTTTGTTGTTGCCTCGTAACTCTTGTTCATTGAGCTTCTTTATATTTCTAACATTTCTGTAAATATAGATAGTATGCATAGACACATGTGGTTTATGAACCAAAAATTATTGTTATTAATCTTTTCAAAATATACATAGCATACAATCTTATATTGTTTGTATATCTATTGAATTATGTATCTAATTAAGCCTCATAATATTAGGTGTTTCTTAACCTACACGTGTTATAATTGAGAAATACATACGTTAGAGGATTCATTGTAAACGGTACACCTAAGCATGTAACGCGAAAATGACGTGGTAAACAGCGCACTGGCAGTCTACTATACTAGATGCACAATATAAGTAAGACTACTTTCCTTCGGTAAGTTGAACCGAGACTGTTCTCTAGAACTGTACTTTCTGAACTATCTTGTAATCTTTTCACTTTTCTCTTTCTCTTTCACCAAGCATCATAAAATGTATCCACTTCAGGTGCAGATAGTGCGTATCTTAAATGAAATCCGCTTTTGCAGCGCCCTCTGAAATTTGCTGCCCGGAAATGTGAACTAAATATGCCGCCATCTTGTTACGTCGCTTCATACGGAGCCGGTGGAAGGGATTCCGCAGATGCGGAACGTCATCTTACGTCTGCTACTGGAACTACTTGTAACAGATTGTATCGTCCAATATAAAAGATAATGATTCTTATTATACATGAACAAAGGTTCAATGTATCATTTAATATATCCTTTATACACTGTTAATGTGGATAGTAACGAAAAATAAAAAACAATTTGTACGGACTCTAAGAACAAAACTCTACAGACTTATCGACACGAAAACTATCAAGGTAGTCACGTGGTTGGCTAGGTGCGTTACGCATGCGTACAAAAATGCTGAAAATGGAGCGAGTGGTGGAAATTACCCCCCCCCCCTCCCTTCATTGTGGATGTGTTGCAGCATTTCAAATTTTAACGTTTGTCAGTGTTTACGTCTCTCGGACGTAAGTTCTGTATCGGAACGATTAAATGCAATAGTTGCAATGGAGGAAGTAGAACAGCTGAAAGCAAAATACATGAGAGTGGACACGTCGAAACTTAAGGATTTGTTACTGTCGCAGGCGGGAATTGTGGATAAAATTAGAAAAAGTCAGGATCAACAATGTCATGGTAAGCTTTATTAACTGTAAATATATACATAATATACTTTTTTCTTATAAAAATAAAGAAGAAAATAGAGATAATATGTTATTTTTTATATTGATACTTTTTTAAAATGTAAATTAAAGAGAATAGACTTGAATATTCAGCTAATATATTTCGGCAGAGGATGAGATTAAAATTAAGGAATTAACGTCAAAGCTAGCTACTATGAAAGAAACACTGAATATGGAGGCTGAAACTTTAGAAAATGAAAATAGTGAGTTAGCAAAGCACAATCTTTACTTAGTAAGTATGACATATATTCTGTCTGTTTTTCTAATTTTTGATATTCTATCATTGCTGAGTTTTTATATTTTTCCTATAGGAAAAATTAGAAGTAGAAAAAATGAAGTTCTCACAAGAGATCAAGCAGTTGGAAGCACAGAGGAACAACTTGAAAACTAAATTAGCTAATCCAAATTTACAAGATCAACAAATGTTAGAACAAGGAAAGTATGTAACATGGATGTATGTTGGTATATTCTTATTTCTTATCCTCATTACTTATTGTTATTGTTTATCTTATATTTCAGAAGAAAATTGCGCATTTATAGAAAATTAACGAAAATACAGTGGGATTATGAAGCTTCCAAGCACAGTATTCAAGGCTGTATCCTTTTTTAACATTTAACCCTTATCAGACGCTAGCTTTTTATGCGTGATTCTCACTAAGTTGTAGCTGGTTTCGGTAAATATGCGAACTTGTCACCTCCTACGTGACGTACGACCGCAGCGACAAAGTATTGTTGTCACGTGAGAGGTGACTTACGACAGCTAAGGGTTAATATCACCACAAATACAAATAACTTATTTTTCAGATAAAGATAACATAACTTGTGAATATATTTAATAATTATAAGATAGAATGAACATTTCTCAAAAGAAACAAATATATTTATAGGCAATAAATAATCCTTAATTCTTAACATAGATGTCACGAATGGATGTGATTATATTCATCATTTCTGTTATGGAAACCAGGAGGTTAATGAAAAATTAGTTGATTCCTTATGGCATGAAATATATTTGTCTACTGGTGAAAGTTCTGAAGTAACAAATGAAAATCTCCAACCAAACATTCCAGCTATTTCATTATAACTTCATAACAGATATACTATATTCATTTAGAAATGTTTAAATTCGTTTTATCTTAAAGTTTCCAAATAAATATATTGATTAAACAGAGTTCAGTTTAGTTTATTAAATACAGTTCATCCATAATAAAATAATAATTAGTGATAAGTTATTAATCAAAAGCATCACATGTGATCCTTTTTCACTAAAGCCTACCTTGCATGACCTACATATGCAATTTGTGACAGAAATTATATATGCGTATATATGTACATAAAATTGCAATTAAAGATCACATAGAATAGACTTGAAAAAGTAACAATCTGTACAGAACATCACAGACTTTATCGCAAAGTTAAATGATCAAACGCATGACTTACATAATATAATGCATAGTAGATAGTGAGAATACATAATCCTATCATTATAAAAGTACTCGCGATACAGAAAAAAATACAGCTTAAGATACTTGCACCGATTGCCAATACTGTCACTGAAAATAAAACACATATATATATATATATATATTGTATAAGAATCTAACCATAAGTTTTGTGGAAGGAAATATAAATGTGATTTCTCACCTTGAACCATCATAAAACCGATAAACGCAAATATAGCACTGACAATAGCAAGTACAATGAAGAGAAGAACAGGGGTTAATAGCGATGCTATCACAATAGTGGCAGCCACTTGCAAAAATGGATTGCTAGCAAACTGCTCCTTAAGTCGGACAATATTAGGATGCTGTAACAATCTCTGCCACTTTCCCGCATATTCCTCGCCTGTAAAATCAAACAGTCAGATCTTGGTTGTTTTAATCCTCTATAATTAACAAGTATGTAAAGCACAATATGTAGAACAGATATGCTCTTACAATAGATAATTATTGAATTATATATACTGTCTTCTCTGTTCATCTGAAATAAAATAATTCTTGCTTATTAAATTTTAAATTGATAATTGTACAGAAGAAACAAAGAGCAAGATAAAAAGAAGCGATATTCCAACTTCACTCTTAATGCAATCACACATTGGTAAGAAAATAATTCTTATAATCGGTATGGCTTTAAATTTTTACCTCTGCCATTTGCCCTTCAATGTTTAAAATGTCAATGTTTAAAACATATCGATTTCGTATATGTTATATCCTGCACAGTATAATTTAAAAATGGCGCTTAAAAGAAATAATGTAATTAGCTTTTGTACGTGTCATTTTCCAGCTTAGAAAACAAACTAATATACGCTTGACATCGCAAGTTTTAATTTGTAAATGTTGCTGTTGCTGTTCTCCGTTACATTCTACATATGTGTCAGATAAGATTAATATTTTCTCTTTCTATCTCTCTCCCTCTGTCCATCCTCCTCTTAACTACGTAAACACAAAGTCCAGAATTGCAACTGTGATTGGACATGCTAATCTCGTAGGAGGATGACAATATAGGTCTGTTCATTTTTGCTACATTTCCTTCGTTCTACATTAAATACCAGAACAAGAGATCTCCAAGATGTACGTGAAGTACTTCTTGAACCATCCATTACTATTGTTTTTGCGGAAATCTATCGAGTTTTGTCTATCTTTTTGCAACCGAGAAAAGTAAGTCCTTCGATTTCTATGCGTAGTATATGTAATAAAATATGCAGTAATAGTAAATCTCTTTCAGTCACGAAGCGTCAAAATTAGAACGCAACATTTTTTATTACTGCACTGCATCTGTATTTTTTTCATACTTTTGTGTACATATCGTGTACATATTTGTTTGCATTCGTGAAAATTCCTTTTATGTCCTACCTTTGTCTCAGTGCTGCTAAAAAGAACAAACTTGAAAGCGCAAATTCATGGGACATGTCGAACGTAGTCACGTGACATCTAATTTCTAGAGTTACACACCAATGAGGTAACATTAAAGTCCATTGACCTTATAGAATTTAGCGTAAAAGAAAATTTCGCTGTTCAATAACCTCCAGTCGATAAATTTGTCGGTAAATTGTGTTAAATGATAACTGCAGAAATGTAGTTTTATAAAAATATTTAATATACTTCATTGTAAGTCTATATATATATATCCTATAGTAAGTAAGTCTATATATATATATATATATATCGATAAAAACATCGCAGAGGGTAGAGGGTAGAGGGTAAATATTAAAATTAATACTCTTATACTTTAACCATCGCCCTAATTTTTCAAATATTTATATCGGACTAAAAATGGTTGAATAATGTCATTTTTCTTCAGTTATTTCCGAATTTTTTGAGGCTTCTTACTGTTTACGAAAATTTACGCAGAGCTGAAGTTATCTCGTCGTTATGTTATGTAATGTGAACTGCCAATGTAAATATTCTAACGTTTTATGTTGCTTATTCTATTATTTTTTCTGTACAGTTTCCCTCTCTCTCTCAACTCAAGTTATAATATTAACTCCAGAATGACATATTTCTCAGAGAGAAATTATGTGGAACTGATGCTATAATGTTCCAAATTTGACGCTGTTATAATAACAACAACAAGAATAATAATAATAATAACAATAACAGCAACAATAATAATAACAATAATAATAATATTACCCTTTTCATGCGTTTTTCGCTATCCAGCGACAACTTCGATCACGTATCCTGTTTTAACGCTAAAAATGGACATCGAGTGTCAGCATGAAAAGGCACCTTGATGCTACAGTCGCATAATGGATGTGGCGGGTGGTAGAGTTACGACAAGCCGGCAACAGATTGTCTTTCAAATATGCGCGTGAGAATTCAGACGCGTTCTAACAGGACATCGATGAGGTCCGATGCTCTAACACGGAAATTGAAACGATTGTCGACTAGTTAAACGACTCCCTGTGATAATGCAGTTGCAAGTGTCGTTGAATATACCGTTGGAGGACAAGATCGGTTCGTCCTGGACAAGGTATGTAATCAAGAGAATATTCCACATTATTTCTTAGATTTGGAAACGATTACGGGCAGATTGACTATTTCTCACAGTTATAACTATATTTTCACATATTTTTTCATAAGTATCATTCATATTTCAGCTATACATGTATAGCTGATTATGTATAAAATATTTTGTCGCATAACGAGACAACTATGAATATTATTACAAGTGCAATAATATTGAATTGACACGGAGAGTTTCCATCTGTTTCAGAAAGGAAAGACAAAGATGGTTCCTGTTGTTGCTAGTCGGAACATGCCTGATATATGCCACGCGTACTTCTGTCCCTTTGTTGATACCTATTGTCAGCAAAGAGAAGCACTGGTCAAAGCCGGATTCAGGTGTGATCCTATCCAGTTTCTTCTGGGGATACACATTGACGCAAGTAGCTAGTGGTTATATCAGTGACAAAATCGGCGGACAGAAAGTATTATGGATATCAGCCCTTGGTTGGTCAGTAACGACCTTCTTTATGCCAGAGGTTATCAACTTTTCCAAGGGTAAAACTTCTATCTTGCTGGTTGCAACAGTAAGAATGATAAACGGAGCATTCCAAGGTAACATTCACATTACACACGCCACATGTTCTACAAGAATTTGAGGATAATCAGACATGTAACTTGCAGGAATGCATTTTCCTAGCATGATTAGTCTGATCAGTCAACGTCTGCACGAGACAGAACGCGCCTCCTTCTTTAGCTTGTTAACATCAGGATCTGCTCTGGGCACATTACTCACCGGATCCTTGGGCTCCTATCTCTTGGAGAATTATAACTGGATGATCGTCTTTCAAACCTTAGGTATTGTTCAGATTGTGCGTAATAGAAGTAGAATGTTACAAAAGAAGTAGATGATATTGTAAATATATCACACTGAGAAGTTATAAATATTCAAGTTGAAGAGTCGGTTTAAGTTACAGTTTCAAGAGCAGAAGCATGATTCTAAGAGACAACTAGTTTTAAAGATTTTAAAAAATGTTTTTTTTCTTTGTTTTTTTTTTAAAGAAAGAATATAGGATACATTTATGGTGTTAATTGATTTACTGATATAGGGGGCATGAGTTTGGCATGGACAACCTTATTAAGCTACTATATCCTGCCGTTTAGGGAAAGAGCAGCTTCTACTAAACCGACTACTGACTACTCTTTGCCTTGGCTCAAGCTTCTGTCGAAACCTCCGTTCTGGTAATCATGGTGCATGGAAACTATTATTTCTAGCTTGAGGATCAGAAGCAACGAGAGATACACACATGTATTTCCCTTATAATTAATATTTTCAAACGATATATAATATGAAATTAAAAATTACCGGTAATTCTTTAGAAATTCTTGAAAGATTTATAGAGAAATTTTAATGTAATATAATATTCTTTCTTACGCTAGAGCAGCCATGTTTTTAAGTTGAACATTATGTGCAAAAAGAAACACGTTCTTTAGTTTACAATACTGAAATGGTTGTCCAAAGTAACAAAATTGTAAAGATGTAATTTTATATCGAAGAGTAATTGAATTTTAATATTTTGTAATATTCGGCATATAGAGAAATCCTTCATACGTCTTCATTTTTGTCTTAAAAAGCGCATTGAAAATTATTTGCCATAGACGCTATCATTTTTACGATTACGTGCTCGTAAATAACGAATGCTTATATATTATTATTAAGTTACATTGCTTCAACTTATCCAAATGCTTACTGCATTGTTAAGAAATGTTTCTTGTACTCGTCTAATTCTGAATCCCTTCTAAAAATAGTAAAACATCGTAATTATGACTTCTTCTCCATAAATGCGACGATATAACATTAGATCGATTACCTTACATATTTTTATGATTATCAGATAATAATTTTCAGGTCCTGTGTAATTGGACATGCTTGCCAAAATAATTGTTTCTTCGTGTTACTATCATGGATGCCTACATATTTCCACGACACGTTTCCCGAAGTTAAGGTAATCCTGTTATTGCTTGGGCGAAAACTTGCGATATAAATACATTCTATTTAAATATATTTTTAAAATATTTTGAAAGACTGATTTTACATGAAATGACAACATTAAGTAACAGTACAAAGACATGAGATTTTATCTTCTTTATATTGTTATTAATTCAACAGTTTTAATTAACAGGGTTGGGTCGTAAATATGGTGCCGTGGCTGTCGTTGCTACCTTGTACATTCTTAGGAAAAGCATTGTCCGAAAGAATAATCATGTCTGGATATTCCGTGACGACGACGCGCAAGATAATACAAACGATTTGTTTTGTCACCGAAATTGGTAGTCTCTTGTTTCTATGTAAGTAATCCCCCTCTATCTGATAATTGTTAGATAGATTAGAAACGAAATCACATGCGAGTCAACCTCTATAGCGAAGCGAGTGGAAACTTTTCAAGGCGCGATGCTGTGCCTCGCTCTGATTATCGGCGCTTCAGGTTTCCATAACAACGCCATTGCCGTAAATCCTTCTGATCTCGCACCAAAGCACTCCGGCTGCGTATTTGGTCTGATGAATACCGTTGGCGCAGTACCCGGTATGTCTATAGTTAACATGAAACATACCGATCCCGTTGAAACCCGTTTGAAAACTTGCATGAAATTCAATGAAAGAAATAGTCGGACCAACATGTTGCTTGGCTTTCTTTTCAGGTTTCCTCGGTGTATATTTCGCCGGGTATATTTTATATTTGACACACAGCTGGTCTGTCGTTTTCCTATCTATTGCTGTCGTCGATTTGTTAGGATGTATATCATATTTACTATTCGGCTCTGGCCAAGCAATTATATGAATTATAAATATATACTCGATGATCTCTCTATATATTTTTGAATGATTATTTTCACCTTCTGCAAATAAGCATCTCACAAGATGGATAAACATGAGATTCGTAATTGCTATATAATACTCAAATAAAGCTATTTATTTCAAGTGAAAACAATCAACAAAAAGCAGTACTCAGCTTCAAGTTCCTAAGTTAATGTACTTTGAAATTGAAGTGTCGATCTATTTAAGTAATGTATAGCATTCGAAGGTCGGAGGACTGATCAGTTAATGATGTGCAGCCTTCCTCATTTGTACCAGGATGTTTCCAAGCTCTTCTCGCTTCCTCTTAGCACGAATATGTGTGCCCAGCTAGAAAATGGAAAGAAACTCACTTGTGAGAGGCATCACATTCTCCGTTACACGCGGTAAAAATTTGCTAATCATGTTTCTGATGTGCTTACCCTTCTCTTCAAAAACTTCAGAGCACGCTTGTCTTTGGAGACCTTCAGTAATTCCATAGCACGCTTCTCATATGGAGCATGTCCTGTGACTTCTCGAATCAAATCCCTCACAAACTTGCCATGTTTGGTTTGTCTCTGTCATGAAGAAATCAGAGATAAATTAACGTACAACAGAAATATATCCATGCATGATTACCGAAGAAAGGCATCGAAGCGTTCTACCAAATGACTCATTACAGATTACATCAATCTGGACGGTATTGGGATCCGATAACAATAACGAAAGAGATTATATGACATACGTAATATACCAACCCCTTTTAATCTGGACGGTCGATGACAGACGGTCTTCTCTTTCTCGGACTTGGTTTTGGCCACTCGGATCTTCGTCGTTTTGTGACCCTTGTTGAGTCCAACAGCCAGTTCATATTTCGGTGCCATCCTACGAACAGTATATCACAGTACTCTCACAGGAAATTAAACAGAAAGTCGATGAATTTAAACGTACACGAATGCAACAGAAATCGCAATTCTATTATGAATACATCGTATTGATTTGACCTCTATTGGATCGCGGTATTTGATAGTTTGAAATCTTACGAACCTTTACGACAGAGATGCGTTCAAAAGCTATATTCCAGATGAAGGAAACAAGCCGGCCACGCTTCCCAAAGCGGCGTTCACGGTTGCGTTCAGCTCGAGTGGTCGACTTTCGAATACAGATGTCGGCAGATCTACAAGTACGCACCAATCATAGACGATGGTTATTACTCAACTATTGTACAATCGTTATGTCAACTGAACGCAACCGGTTTGTGCGATCGTGTCACGTGACTGCTTTGTAAAATTGCCGTCACCAACGCGATGATATAACACCTGCACACTTCAGTGCTGCACCTGCTGCACCCCGCCTCTCCGTTCCGCCATTTTGCGCGTTTCAAGCGCACAAGACGAACGGACCTCGCGCGCCAATAGCGTGCGAGAATTCCCGTGTCGGTCGTCTCGGCCGCCGCATGAGAACACCGCCTTGCGAGTGCACGCCGAGCCGAGGCAAGCGAGGGAATGCCCGATGCCTTTTTTAACGCGAGCATGTGAACGGATCTCCGACTAGATTGTCCGATACACTCGCGTAGTGGCATCTCGCACGCGCGCGCACGCGATAGAGAGAAGGAGACAGAGCGACAGGGGGTTGAGTAGAAAAGGCGAGAGAGCGAAAGAGAGAGAAGAATCACGAGAGTTATCTGGCAGCGAGAGTGCACGGACGGACGAACGAACGACGCGATATATCACGGCGTTTATGTCGTACGACGTGTTCGCGTTCCTCGAGTGAAGAAACGCGCAGCGGACGAGGGAGAAACGCACGCAAAACGCGCTCGCGAGAAGAGAGATAGTCGAGGAAGAGAGAGAGAGAGAGGGAGGAAGAGGAAGAGAGAGAGAGAGAGAGATAGATAGATTCGCCGTTTCTGTCGACGACGACGAACCGCGCCACGGTTGTACGGACGGACAAACGCGCGGCCCGATCGTGCCCGATCGCTCGTCGACGCTCGCTCTTCTCTCGTTGTATCGCCAGCTCTCCGACCGGACATTATCGTGCATTCTCTCGTCACAGTGTCTCGCGGCCTGTGCGCTCGTCTACCTACGCCCGCTTCGCGAATGTGGACACTTAACGGTGCGCCGTGTGTTGTCGCTACCGCTACCACCGCCACTGTGCATTTCATGTGCCCGCTGCTGGACTCCTCGTCGCTGTTCGCCAACGGATTTTGACGAGTGTCATCGAGCGTTCGGCGAGAAACCGCTCTCCAGCCCGCGGGGATCTGGATTGTCAACCTGATTGCGCGGCGCCCTCGAGGGCGAGAGAGAGACAGAGAGAGAGAGAGAGAGAAGGCGAGAGACAGAGAGAGAAAGACGGATAGAGGGTGAGCGAGAGTGAGAGGAAGAGAGAGAGAGAGAGAAAGGAAGATAGAGAAGGAGAGAGGCGCCTGCTGGTGGCTGTCCGCTCCGTCGCTCCGCGCTTTCCTCCCACCCAAAGTGGTATCAATGTTGTCTGGCAATGGTGTGTAAGGAGAACGTGGTATCATGGTTTGGGAATCTGTCCAGGTAATGTGGAAGCGTCGCGACGCCGCGCGACTATTGCCTATACGCGGCGATATCCCGACGCGCGCATCTTCACCCTTCGAGATATTTCAGGAGTAATTTTGCGTAACCGTCGTCGACGCGTCGTCGTTGCTCGACCCGATGCGACCGCAGCATGCACGGGAACGACCGGAGGTCTCGTCGTCGCCTTGGCGTGCCTTTATTTTCACACTGGGGGATCAGCGCCGCTCTAACGCGCGCCCCATTAGAATGTCATACATTTTTATTACATTTTTTTTTTCTTATTACATCTTCGCCCATTGTGCACATTGTGTGTAGGTTCCGTTGGGTAAGGTTTTTTTTTTTTGTAACTAACGCATAGAGAGTAGCGTACCAGTGGGAGTTTGAGTCTGTTTCCCGCTGTTAAATCGCTTCTGGCAGCTATTCGTCTGCCGACGCTTCTGGATCCGACGTTCTTGTCGTCTCGTAGCTCTGTGTTCCTTGTACGAAGCGACGGGAAGCGACTCTCGGTTATGGAAAGTTACTTCTTATTAATTCTTAGAGAACGATGACCCCCTGACACACTAGACACACGTTAGCCCTCCCGTTGAATAAGGGTCTAGTTCGTTGTACACAGTAGCAGATACGCTTGCCTTGACAAATTGCACACATCTCGTTGCTCATTGCTTGCGAAAGTTCACGGTGGTGCATGTGGAATTTTCAGATAGTATTTCGCTTAACATTTGTATGAATAATTGATCCGCATCGATCTACATTTAATTTTGAGTGTTTTAATACACGATGTCACTGGTGGCGATCAATAATCGGTATGAAACGGCAGTACATCGCGGCATATGTAAACGTAAAGCTAAATTCTCACCTATAACACTTATCAAAATAGCATACAGCTTCCGTGATATCTATTTGATTTCGGCTACACCAATTTCCAGTCGCACACCCTGAAGCCACTCCTCTGGTTTCTGACATTTAAACTCTTAATGTCCACAATATCTCGATGATTTGACTCCTTAAAATTCTGTTTGAGCAAGTAACAAGGAAGTAAAGTTAAGAACTGAGCGCAAGCTCCAGATGTTACATGAGAAAAAGCCCATCTTGAAAACACACACACGCACACAAGCGAAAGGAGACACCATCGAAACAGCATCACGATGTTGATTCAGAGGCATAAATATAAACTGCCGATGTATCGACTTTCTCTGTGTCGTCTGATACTAATGTACCCTTTTGTCTGTTTAGTTATAAACGTATCGATGTAATGTGCACGTTGCTGAACATGTGCTTGCCGTTTGAAGTACGATACCTCGGCACGTGCGTCGAGGATATCGGCAAGCGGGATTACAATGACCTGCGCGACACGGAGCATCATGCAAATAGCGCCTCCGAGTTGGCCGAGTTGACGGCGAACTCCAACGTGACGGACAAACGGACGCGGAGAAAACTGGCTCTCTACACAGCGCTATTGCACTCGTGCAATTACGCTTGTGCGGTGATTCTGTACAAGAACCTGTCGAACCTCGACCATCAGGAGATCACCAATCTGCTGAACGGGACCAGCTTCAACAACATGGACGACCAGCCCCTGGAGGAGTTGCTGTTGCTGTACACGATGGCGCTGAACCATCCGGCCTTCACATACGAGCAGAAGAGTGTGTTCGGCAACATATTCATCAAGCTCCAGGAGGAGGAGGCTCGTCTGAATCTCTCAAAGATAAACTCCTCTTTCAAGCCGGCACAAGTAATGCACAATAGATTTTCTCTCGCTTTTTCGATGTAGAAACATGCGGTCGGCTTCGTGGAAATTGAGAGTTATTTCATTTTGTCCTTTGTTTTTTTTTTTCCTGTGCCTCTCAAATTGTCATTCTTCGTTCTCATTGAGCCAAACGTCAATTGGTAATTTGTAATTCTGCAGAATAATGCAATAGACGAGTAGAGTTGCCGTCAGTTCCTTTTGATTTTTTAATATGTACGAACTGCTGATCTCTCAGATATTTCTAAGTTAGAAGGACAATTCTTCTACTGCTTCATATGAATAAATCTCACTTTTCATGGAAATATTAATTAATGTTTTTAGACAGCTACGTTGCTTGTTGTGAAATAGTTGTTTTGTCTTCGTTTTCATAATTTATATATATATACATATATATACATATATATACATATATACACATATATATACATATATATACATATATATACATATATATAATTATTATATTGGTGTACGGTTGTGTTTGTGTAGTGCACAATTGATTAGGAATGTTTTTCTTTTTTGTTGTTTTACATGATATTTAATATTAAATGCGGCTATATAGTCGTTAAAGTTAGTCTATCAATACCAAAATCATCAGTGTGTGAGAGAAAAAAATTAGGGCAAAATTTCATTTTAATATGTGATATATGTATAATTTGGAAAATGGGTGTTTTTCTTTTGTAGTAACTTCGAGTAACATCTGCAGGTTGTCAAACTCGTCTTTATGTGTGTAAAGAGTCCCAGACCTATCACGTATTCTTTTAAGTACAAACACACTGATGAGTTTAGAATCATGATTGAATCGATTTCCCTTTATTAAATACTATGAGAATTCATTATTTAACTCAAATTGTTCAATTCTATCCATCAGGTGTCTCCTAAATTGATCAAATTTGTGTTACGTTAAAACAACGTTAAATTCGAAATTGGAATTAGAATAGTTTTGCTTCTTAATTTTGTTTCGTGCCTGAAGCCAGAAAGTTGAAATTGAATGTGCAATTTACTACTCTGACTATACTATGTTAACTGAACGTATTCTTGGGCAATGTTTTGTATCGATAAATATTTCAAATTTCACACAGATGTTTCAAGAATTTCAACACAATCGTTGCTTTTGGAACTTGATGAATGAGAGAATTTTCAAAATTATTTCATTTTGATACTTCGTACTTTTCCCATTTCATACTTTCATGCTTTACATTTCATTCATTTCATACTTTACATGCACATTTTTAATATTTCTCACAGCAGAACTAGATCTGATTATTTCTACCTTGCGATACTTTTAATCGCTTCGATCGTTTCTTTGTTTATACGTATTTACATAATTCGTACGTGAAGGATGCGCGGTAGGTTTGGGCCGTTACGTATATATTTTTCTCGAGTTCGATGTTGGGTTATCAATCCACGGGGATTAAGGTTCAATCTGGAAGTAAGTAAATATGAATTCACGAATGTGTATCGAATTAGCGTTATGGATTACTGTTATCGGCTACTGTTATCCTAAGAGATAAAATTACTTCGTTCGACTCATACTCGATGCATTGTGACGTAACGTAATGTGTATCAATGCCATTGTCCCGCGTCGTGTTACACGCCTGCACTTTCTAGGAAACCTATTATTTGGGAGAATTGTGTTTGTGCGATAAGTGTAACAGAAAGAGAAATGAGTGTCGCGTGTGGTCAATATCCTTCCCATTGTGATCATCTTAAAAGTAGCAATACTGTACATATAAACTCGTATGCGTGCGTCGATTTACGAGAGATACATCGTGTCAGCACGATTATTTCGTTGTTTCTTCCCGAAAGCTGGGAACCGTTGATCGTGTCAAGCTACACGTGATCTTAATTTATATACAGGGCTGCGGGCCATGCATGAGCACGAACGAGAGGTTGATGGAGCCTGAGATCCCGAGTAGCTGTTTAATGCCGCCGCCGCCGATGCAGCCTTATCACGGTGCGTCATGTCACACATTTTTTCTGAATATCCGTTAACACGCAAAAAAGAAATATTCTTAAGATAAACTAACGAATAAAGACGACGAAATAACACAAAGTGAAACACACGAAAAAATAAGCAAACTAGAAGAATTCGATTAATTAGAATTTAGTTCCTCTGAGCCAAAAAATTCTATCTGCAAACTTCTTTCACGTTGCATCTCTCGCCGTTTATTCCCGCGAAATAAAATCGTTCGAAATACCACATGCATGTTTCCCAGAGACAAATATATATATATATATATATACCATGTACACACACACATATATATATATGTTTTTTTTTTTCTCTCTCCAAAACAACTCTACGTTCCGACGTATTGATGTCGTATTACCCATGTACATTTAGGCGAAATGGCGATGAGAAACAATGCTATGGTGACCGGAGTGCCGCCCGGCCTCACAATACCTCCCCCAGGATTATGTCTGCCGGGGACCCCGGAGCAAATACCCATGGGAGCCGGCGGTACCACGCAATACGTCCACCTGTTCCCGTCGATGAACCATCTGCCCCCGTGGACAGGTCAGGTTATGATGGGAAACCAATTGATGTATCACACCGGCGACATGTTGGCTTATCCACCTTCCCCCTTAGTCAGCCGCCAGTCCTCGCCATCCCAGTCAAGATCCCCTAGTCGCAGCAACTCGCCTATGGGCCGCGGTCGGACTAACGCCAACCCGCGCACCTCGTCCACGCAAGTCGCCCAGTCCACCTCCAACACGATGACGACGTCATCGTCGGCGACCGGTTCTAACAGTCAGACGAGCATTTCCGGCTCGGCCGCCACTAACAACAACAACAGCAATAACAACTCCTTGCCGCCCTTACCGACGCTCGGCGCGAGCAGAAGTCTTCCTAGTCAACAGCCGCCGCTGCTCCCATCGTCGCGATCGGTTCCCTTGTCCATCACGAGCTCCTCGAGCTCCTTCTCCCGGCACAACAGCGTCGATAACAACACCCCATCGTCCACCCTGATCCCGGCGAGCCAACAGAAACAGGCCCCGCCACCGCCGCGACTCAGGTCGTCCAACTCCGGCGATTCTCTCCGGGAGACTCTCGGCAAGGAGATGCCGAACTTCAAGGGCAACCTGCAGAACCTTTCTCGCGACGAGGTACGCGTCCTGCCGATCGCCGTCTAGTAATATCTCGAGCTCTGTCCGATACCGGCTAGACTAGACGTGTGTGTGTGTGTGTGTGTAACGCAAGTACACGAGCTGAGATTGAATTTTCTATGTGTGCTGAATATAGATCGGAAGGTTGAGCGACGAGGACCTGAGGAACATCGGCTTTACACCGAACGCAGTGGGACAGTTGAGGAGTATAGTCAAAAGTCAAACCACTAACGGCTTAAACCAAATTCCGGCCGATAAAAAGCTGGACAATACGAGCAACACCACACACCCGGTCGCCGAGTCGATCGAGAACGAGGTAAGTTTCGTCCTCGTCTCCTGCCACATTGTATGGGAGATCGGTTTTTGCTACAAGTAAAAATAGAACTGATAATTGTATCCGAGTGAGGTAGTAACTGTTATCGCCTTGAATATCTTTGAGGTATGGGAGTGGGAGGGAAATATACTTATCTAACAGATATTGTATTGACGTATCAAGAATCATCATTTCGAGCGCATTCTGCAAATTTAAGCTTTTTTTCATTCTCGTGTAAAACCTGTTCGTTTTAGCTGAATTAATGTAGAAACTCGGTTCCTTTTACTATCAATGTTAGATTATACTAGATTCATTCTAAAGACGAGAAATGCAATCTACACAATTTCCATTTTGCAAAGAGAAAAAAGTTTCTTTGGATTTAATAGGTTTATTTGACTTGAGTTTGTTTAATGCAAACAACTTCGTTCAATATCAAATATCGTTTTGTTTGAATGAGAATATTGTTGCTTTGAGTAAATCATAAGGGTTGCTAAGAATAAACTATGTCATTCAATGGAGAAAACAGTATTATTTAGAAGGAATATAATTTATATATATGTATATATATTTGGTTTTCAGTGAAAACATTTATTACATTTATATATAAAATATTGCCTCGCTGAGATAAAAAGAAGTTTTTAAATATTTTTCTAACCTAGAGTGTCACTTCTTTCAAATAATTTTATTGTTTGTGACAATTCTAATTTGGATGAAAATCCAAATAAAAAATATGTTTGTTTCAGTTAAAGAAATCTTATTAAATCCAGAGAAAATTTGTATCTCTAATCGTTAATAAAATATTTCTAGTTTATGGAGATACTCAAGATGGAGCAATAATTATTGCCCCACTTTGTGTACCCAAAAATACTAGAATAGATAATTTACATATATATCGATATCATTGTGCACGATGTTCAGTTATCCACAAGTGTTCGTTTTATCGCGGCAGGTCGTGCCAGGAATGGAAGTTTTAGGCGATAGCAATAACACGAGCGGGAAATCGATGCCGCTACAGGAGCAGCATCCGGCGATGCATCATCACAATCACGTGGCTACTCCCAACATACGGCGTTATCCTGCCGCCGTGCCGTCGTTAGATCCCGCGCAAATACAAATGTACCCCGCGCCGCCGCAGATGTACACGGCCCAGAACGCGCCGTGTTACACTTGTCTCACCGTACCGGTAGCAGGAATGCAAAACCGATTTTCAAGGTAAGCCCACTAATCACTTCGGACCGAAAGAACGTATAATAGAACCTGATTTATAATAAGTCTGATTTTCGAGGCTGTAAGGTTATAAAAGAAACTTATTACAGGCTCCCCCTCCTCCCTATAACAGAGAAGTCGTCTCACTTTCGCCCACTGCATGCCCAAATGCAAGCATATGTGCATGCATATTTATGATCAATTTACTTAAGAGGATGCCATATTTGAAAATTAAGCTGGCAAAATACCGAAATTCTTCCTGCAAAGTTTGAATCGTCGTATTCGCTGCACAGAATTAATGCTTTCACACGGTGAAAGTACGCGTGAAACTGAATTGGAGCATTGCTCAATGTGTGATGAAAACGATGAGAAATTTCAACATTGACATCTCTGGCTCTGCCAGCATTAATATTTATCTGATAGAGAAATCCTGCATTTCCAATCAGGAAAATTTCTTCAAAGAACATTTTTATATCTCTTTTTATAAAATTCGAGAACAGATAATATTGTGATTCTTTTCTTTCAAAATGAAAAAATCGCAAACTTTGTATACTTTGTTATTATATATGAAACATTTTACTTTATCAGTTCGCTGAATCTTACACAATATGTGCAATTACTCGACTGTTCGTTGAGTATTAATATGGAGGGGACCCTAAATAGTGTTAGTGAAAATATATGTGGAGAGGAAAGGACTTACGGATGTATTGCTCATAAGTCAAAATAATAAAAAAAAATTATGAAAAAATTACAAATTGATCTACGTTATATTTAAAAGTGACATAAAAAGTCTGGCCGTAATTCAGAGCCTGGATCAAAAGTTACTCCACTTTAAAGGAAGTTATAAGGTGAAATGAGTGATAAGAATTCGATGAAACTTGTATTGCGTATACATTGAAATATTATCTAATTCATTGCTCGTACAATTAGGAAAAGATAGACCATTCGAGAGAACTTAGATATTTGTAACTAAAGTTGACACTTTTTATACGTGTTCCTTAAAATTAGTCTATTTTTAACTTCGGTTTTTAATATCTTCTAAATTAAAAGTAAAATTTTAATGAAAAACTACTATGATATTAAAAATTAATATATAGATATTATACATAAATTTCAGAATTATTGAACATTTAACATCGAAAAATGCAGCAGTGTAAAGCTCATAACTTGTGATAATAATTCAGATTATATATATATATGCAAATATTTAAATACTTATATATTTTTTTTCTATTATCTGTGTATCTCTATTAGGTCAACTGATGCGTAAATAATGGCATTAATAAGAAAAATAAAAGATAATATTTTCGTATTTGTAATATTGTGTATATATATGTTTACTCTCAATTTCGTTTCAAATTAATATTTATCACTTAGATAGTGAAAAAACGTACAGGAAGTATCGAATTTGCCTCGATAAACGTGAAACTGACGAGTGGTCTCTTTGATACTGGAGATACGGGCGACATACATTCTCAAACGATCGAGAAGAGGTCCCACTGTACGCAACTGAACAAACACACACCTTGGGCTAACCTCGAGTCGCTCACGTTCCCAGGTGCAACGCTCAACACGTGTACTGCCTGGCGCAGCTGCAGGCGCTGCGGCTCGACTCCGAGAGCAGCCGACATTGTTCTCAGAGCAGCAGTTCCGACAGCACCGGCAGCAGGTCACCGCCCGAGACGCCGCCGGCCGCGCCGTGGGTCAGCGCCGACAACAACAACGTCGCGAACGAGCACGTGAACAGCGCGCCGGTACACCCGACGACGACGGCCCCGCCACCGCCGCCGCCGCACGTCGCGCAGCCAGCGTCCCAGCAGACGATGCAGACGTCGGAGAGGCAGCTCGCCAGGAAGAATCCGCAGGCGCGCGCGACGATGCGGCAGAAGAGCCAGGGGATGCTGAACGGGAACGGTAACGGCGGACCGCCGAGTCTGCCGCACTGTCCAGCCGTGTCCTTCCCGGCGCCGCACTCGCAGCTTACGTATCTACCGCACGGACACTTCCCGGCGGCGATACGGCCGAGCACCACCGGCATCTACTCCAACTTCCTGCACGGGCCGTCGGCGGCGCGACCCGCCTATCCGGGCGCGTACCAGCCGAACGGCGAGATGATGTACCCGTACACGGGGCATCCCGGGNGGCGTCCGGCGGCACACCGCCGCCGAACGCCGCGGCCGCCGCGACGCCGGTCCCGGCCTCGTACATGCCGCCCACGCCGGTGGTGACGTACGCGGCGGCGGTGATACCGCCGGCGAAGATCTCTTGCTACAACTGCGGCAGCAGCAATCACCTCGCGGTCGACTGCAAGGATCAGACGATGGAGGACCTCACGAAGAAAGGTACGTCCTCCTAATGCCTACTTGCCCCGGAAGAAGAAGGAGGTCGAACCGAAAAAGAACGGATCAGTCGGGGAGATTCACTGTATGTCACTGTAGATTAAGAGGACACACTGCGCAAATGTTCCCGATATATTCACCCATTCGCTCACGTAGTACGGTTCGTCACACACGGTAGACACCACAGTGGTCCTTTTCGTTTCAGCCCAGTACCGACTGGACTACACGATAATGAAGCAGCCTGGGGAGTGCCCGAGTTCCGACAAGTGATCCCCTGCCACGGACCGTCACTCCGCCACCGCTCACCACTATTGTCACCGCCATCGTAACCGCAACTGTTGCCATCATCGTCATCACCGACACCGCCACCGGCACTACCACCAACAGCACCACCACCACCAGCACCACCAACGCCACTACGACCACCGTGAGCACTATCATCAGCAAGAACAGCAGCATCACTACCATTGTCACCGATACCACCGGTTCGCCGATGCGAGCCGATTTAAGGACGACATGTCGCGAGACGACGAATACTACTACCGTTCCTCGTACAAGTTTTCGGTAATTTTTCTAAACGTTCTACCCTACGTTCAGAGCTACGACGATGACGACGCTAACGCTGACGCTGACGCTGACGACGACGCCGATGCCAAGCACGACAACGACAGCGACGACGTTTTTTTAAACGAGGATGTTCCGCGGTTCATGGTACCGGGTATTATACCTTTTGCAAATTCTTATGTATGATAGAAATGGCGAAGAGCGATGTGATCGCAGAACTGTAAAATATGGTGTAGTAGTACTGTACAAAAAGGAAGAAACCGGGAAGCGAAGCGATAAATAATAATCGATGAAGTGAGGATGGAAAAAAAAAGAGAAAAGACGGGGGAAGGCCGCCATGCGATGTGTGACGATGGGACACATTGTTTTGTCCGTGGTTTTCTTTTCTTCCTTTTTTTCTCGTTCGCCGTCGAGAACACGAATTTCGAGGGATCCTTTTTTCCGATTTTCGACAGTAACTCGCGTCCTTCCAGCGATACCTGTGTCGGCCACTTAATCGCTGCAATCGACACCCCCTCCCCCGCCCCTCCGCAATGCTCCTGTCCTCCCTCCTGAATCCCAAATCCTTCTCTTAGTGATTTAACTGTACGTAAGCGAAATACCAGGACGAAAGGACAGAGAACGCGATTGTGCTTGAAGGGCCAAGCGGGGAAGCGAAGATCATACGAGGTTTGACTATATTTAGCAATCGGTACTTTTACTTCTAATCCACTATGTCTACTACCGCTCTATTACTATTACTACTACTATTAAACTATTACTTCTACTATCGCCGCTGCGCCACGACGTTTTTATGTACATATATTTTCTCAATTCTTACGTGCGCGATGATCCGACAATGACGCGAATGAAGAGAAGAAGCATGTAATATATGTGAGATAGAGATGTGATCGCACGTACGCGTGTTTGTGTGTGTAGTGTGCGCGTGTGTGTGCATGTGAGCGTGTATTTGTACGTGTGTACTAGTGTGCGTGTACGCAAATAAGAAATGGAATGCGAGAAGAGGCAGGAAGGCGAAAAAGAGAGGAGGAGGAAAGGAAAAGTTAAACGAGAAAGGGAAAATGGGGAAAGGGAGAGAAGAAAGGAGTGAAAGAGCAACAAACCAAAAGTGTTCGATCATCCAGCTGCCGTTGCGCTCCTGTGTGCGTTTGCCCGCGTGCGTGTGTGCGTGTGTGTAAAATTACGCGAAATATATATTATATTATTATATACACATATATATATATCGTATATATATATATATATATATCGTATATATATATATACATACATACATATATATATATATACACACATATGTCTTTGCTGCTCACAACTCGTTTCTTATCTAATAGATAGCTGTAGTTAGATGGCGATTCTCACATTGTTTATACCACGAGTAGTCACGCGATTGCACGTGCATTTGAAAACGATTTTATACGACTTTTATCGATCGCCCGTGTCTTTGAGCGTAACCAACGTTAAGCTTTTTTACGCGTTCGGTTGCAGCAACGTTAGTGTTAAGCGTGGTTAACTAAAAGGAAAAAAAAATGAAAAAAAATAATTTTCCCCCTCTCTGTATATTATATCTATCTATCTATCTATCTCTCTCTCTCTCTGTCTATATTATAGATCTATTATTTAAAACACACAAGAAGGAATCATTTAACAGATCTTTCGAGCTGTTAACGCCTTTGGCTGCTGTAAATGCAAATTCTTGAACAGCACACCGTCTCCGACACAGATCTCGAGGTATCTTCAGATCGGCTCCGTTAATAATGTACAAGTACAATGTATTTTACACATCAAAACTAGACAAAAGTTCCGTCAGTCTCTCAGGTTTCTCGTAGAAATACGTACGTAACACTCGTCTTTGACGTCCCTTTAGATGTTTCTTAGGATGATTGATCTTCGAGCCAAACTTGATTCTTAGTTCCAGAGTAATCCTTTCAATGGTACGCCAGCGTGTCTGTTTTTATTCGCTCGCAGATCATTTCGCAGTAGTACAATCGGTGTAAAGATTCGTCATGAATTGAGTTGATTTTTTACATGTCTAACCGTTTGTGCATATGTATGTAGAATAAATTGCAATCAGTTAATCCACCGATCACGCACAATCTTTGAGAAGGGTCTCGTACACAGTTTAACGATAATTAAATTTTGTCATAGTAATACTTGGTAGCATTGATTCAGGAGCATTCGCCAACTTGAGTGAAAATCGTTTGACCGCTGTAAAAATCGGCGAACTGAGCTTTTCCGACGTGAAGAGCGATGCTCTCGCTTGGTTGGTAGAACCCGACGATCCTTTGCCGGATTATTGAATTCGTCCTTCAGGAACGGAAAGTTCGAGGCGGGCAAAGTTTAAGGGACCGTCAAAGCTCTAGTTGATTAACCATTAGTCGTGAGAAGGGATGCTAACAGTCAGCCGTGAGATAGATCTTTTGTTTAGTTTTACACCCGAGCCCGAAGCACGTAGAAAACACGTCTACGCGCTCTCTGTACCGAGACGCGGAAATTGAAAACCGCGTGTTTCCTTACAAACGCGCGTCACGCATTTCCTATACGAACATGAATCTTGCTCGAATATACCGAGGAGAAAAAAAGAAAACGGGTGTTAGTTAACCAAAGCTGCAACACTGTTGGTGCAATGGACCCTTAGGGAGTAACAGCGGAGAGTAAGGCCGGGATATGTGAGTGAAGCGGCAGTCCGCTGGCGAGAAAATTGCCGGTGCATTTAAAGGAAAGAAAAGAAAATAAATGAAATACGGCCACTCGGATTCCCACCAAGCGCGTGCGAATCC